TTTAGATAGAATCCAGTCCAGTAGCTTTGGCCTCCCTCTTCAGTGTTCGTCTTAGGGGTTTTTTTTGTGCGTCCCCGCCTCCTTAACCCATTTATTTCCCATTTGAATGCCTGTGTGGTGATCCTCCGCTGGTTTTATTCAGGATGTGTCCAATGTATCGCCATCTTTTCTGTCTTATAACTGGTGATACTAATGTTTGTCTAGATATTTCTCTTATTTCTTCACTCATTTTGAACTAATGATATTTTTTTTCGGAAAATGAAAGAGTTGACAAACTAGCTACGTAGATACAACTGAAGAACAACCTAATATACCAGCCTCTTATCAACAGAAGAAGAGAATAACGAAATCAATCAGAAAGCCATCAAAACTGGCACAAGACTATTACCATCTTATGGATAGACCAGAGCAAGTCATTATTCTAGGTCTTGAAACAGCGCGCAGTCGACTTCACAGCGACGTGTAAACAAAGTTTAAGATTGGCGATTGAGCCATATGCACATGTAAACTGGCCCCAGAGACATGTGCTCTCATATCACGTCTCCCACAACTTTTGATTTCTTTATCTTTCTTGTTGTCATCTTCTTTAGCCCTGATTTCTTGTTACATTTTTTTGGGCATTGCATAAAGCAAGCTTCAGTGCCTTTCTTTCCTGAATACACTGTCCTGTGTCATCATTTATCAGGGTTTTCAGGGTTTTCTTTCTTTAGTCCTGCACTTAATCGTTGCTGCTTGTTAAGATGATTTTCCTCTAGTCCAAGTGCTTCAAATATATTTTACAGCTGAAGCTGGAACTCCTCTCTTACCTTTACAATGCGAAATCATTTGACTATTCTATGTTGCACATCTCTCTTGACAACTGCTTTTAACTGAAGCCTTAGTTTTCCTTCACATAAAATGCGATCACTACCATTTCTTAGTCACATATATATTATTACAAAATAGAAAATACGTGTATATCACAATGGAATATTAAAAAGCCTAGACAATCAGGTGTCTCTGTGATATAAGGCTAGGAATTCGATCAGTTGCGTGCAGTTATTATTTTAAACTAGAGCCGTTTCAGATTCAGTTCACACAAACAAACATAATGACAATCAGAAAGTAAATATAAAGAAAGCTGGCAATACATACAGCGGTTACAGTCTCCCTTCTCTCTAAAGGAGCAGGAAAGAGCAACCCGGATACAGGGGGACCATGAACGTTAGGTACAATACAGACATCTTATCAATCTTAAACAGGAAGCAATTCGTCGCCAATTTCTTAAATATTTTTGTAGAAAGGGCATAAGCTGAGGGATATACAGAATTTGATGCAAGAATCTGTACATAAGCGGCGTCCGTGGCTTAGGCGTTGCCAGTCCGACTCGTAATTCCAATGTACCGCGATCGAATCGCACTGCTGGCTGCGTAATTTTTATCATCGTACAGGGCGTCGCAGGTCGACTCAGCCTAAGATGGGTACCAGGTTGTATGTCCTGGGAAAGTTAAGATGGCTGGCCACATTACCTATCTAGTGCCGATAGGTCTGTAAAAATATGGGTGCTCTTCCTATCTGCCCGATGCGCCTAAAGGCGTAAAAGGGATCTTTACTTTTTTACTATATTGACATAAAAGTAAAAAAAAGTCATAAAAATGTCGCATGTTATTCTTGACGATGTATCTTTCCTATTATTGCGATTGCCAACCATAAAGTCAATTCTTTGGACCGTCCGAGGTTTGGCAAGACAATGCATCATGCACATCCTGTTAAGTAGCTGGGCAAGAAAAAAAAAAATAGATACCGTACGAATAAATAAATAAAAAGTAAAGGACCGTTGTCCACGCCTTTAGGCATATAGGGCATATAGAGCTAGACCTATATTTTTATAAAACAATCGGTACAAGATGGGTGGTTTGGTGAGCATCACACGGCAAGTGTGGTACACAAAAAGCAGTAGAAACAGCACGAATGGTGGGTGGGGGGGGGGGGATGTTTGGGTGGGAATTAGGCAATGAATACTAGCCACGACAGAGAATATCTGCCGAGAATGTCTCGGTCATTCACGTGTGGTTAAAGAATAATTCTCTAAGTTGGAGATAGGAACTCTAATTACTTTGGGACGTAAGTGCAGGGACTGGCCAGATGGTGCTGTAGAATCAGAAGTTCAACAAATGATTCATGACAATTCCAGCCTAAGTGATGTGCTTGTATATACAGTTGGCTCTGTGTTGAGAGGCAGACAAAGTGAATGCGGGTTTATAGCGAAGGCGAATGGCCGTCGCTTGGTGCCACAAAGCCTGGCATTTGATATCACAACGTCTAGTTTGAGAATGGAGGTGGAGGCAGTCATTGTTGTCTTCCGCTGATTTGAGAATCAGCTGTACACACATTGTATTTGACTCACAGAGCATGTTGAGAAAGGTGGATATTTTCTTCAGGTTTTGCCGGTGTGTTCGGAAATGAGCAGGCAGATAGATTGGCCGGTTCTGCACCACTTGGTTGTTGTGAGGGCCCTTTGGGAGTGAGTGAACAGTGCCGAGAAACGAATAGATCATTATGGTCTGAGGAGAATGGCACTGCGAGCAGTTAAAATATGATCTGGCCGACATTCGACACTCAGTGGAAAGGCTAGACGGATATACAATCAGACAGTTAATGGTACCATCGGAATCTTTTTTCTTCGCTTGCTGCTGAAGATGGATGTCGATTATGTATTCAACATTCTCTAAGTCCTGGTGCTGGTGACACTCACTCTATATACATTATGTAGAATATCAGTAGAGAAGAATGTTGACGCCAGCCACAACATCGCTGTAACTTAAAAGTTTAAGTTATTTGAGACTCTTCCTTCTTTTCCTAGAACAATTGTTGAAGATAGCTTATATTTTTTCACGTGTATTGTTGTATTTAGTCGTCCTGTATCATATTATTATTATATTTATGCACTTTAACAAGGTATACTCCCCCCACCCCAACTGAAGCTCCCTAGACAATTTGTAAGAGGGCTGAGCCATTCCACCGAGCACCCTCAATATTTGCTTTGAGTCGGCGCCTATTGTTTGCCAACGATTTTAACCACAGCATTCAAGGCGACATAGTTAATAAAGACTGTACAATTGGAATTGTCTTTCTCTTGCCAAAGCCAATGATTCCCCATATATAAGCAGCTAGCGCATAATCACAATGCAAAAACGCTAATTGCAAACATGCACAGAAAGAACACACGGACAACGGCTAAATTAGACGCCGAGTAAAGCCAGAATTGTTCTGGAATGCACAAGACACATTGCCTATTTGCAAGACGATGAGATTTTCGGTTGAGATCCCTTTAATGGCGAACGGGATTGACAGATGTCGATCCCATGTCTGTCTCACAATAAGTGTAAACATTGCTCACCCTCCAGGGGCAAACAGTGAGAAAATGAGAAAATGCCTGACACATGACAGTCGTGTTAGGTGCGAACAGTATCTTTAACATGGGTGTCCACACACACACACACACACACACACACACACACACACACACACGCGCGCGCGCGCGCGCACACACAAACACACACCATTGGTAGGGCTCAGAGGGACTTAGTCACCCTACAGATGTCTAAGGGCCTAAACCAGTCTGTTTTGTTTAAGTGCGTAATAATAATAAAGTGCTGAATTGCAAATAAATATACTGCATTGAAAACGGTATGGAATACTAAAAAAATACTTGATACGTGAACTTTAATCCGTGCTTAGATGGATCTTTTAAGACGAATTATCAGGAGGGGGGGGGGCAGCCCACATCGTTGATAAGAAGAATAGATTTCGGAGTGAAGATCGGCACATCGAGAGGCATACAAGACATATTATACCATAGAACAGTATAGCACTGTTATCTGCACGCCGCTGTTGTGTATTTTAAAAGGGGAGGGGAAGGGGTGGGGGGATTCTGAGCACTCATGTACTTGTCCGGAGTGCTATGAAGATAAGTAAACCCCTAAGCCCTTTTCTGTTTACCACACACCTCTTCGTCTGCACACACACACACACACACACATACACACATCTGAGTGCGCACATGAATGAGTGGCTCCATAAACATGTCGAAGACGATATGTTTTGCGTACGTGCTGACGTAATGGTATATATATATATATATTTACACAAAAGGCTTTAAACCTACTACTCCATTCTGTTAAATTCTTAGAAATCTTCTGAATTTAAAGGATATTATCGAGTCCCGCACCTTTAGCCTCTCTCAACAATCTGCTTCCTGTTAATTAAGTAGTAAATTACACTTTAGAAGCTACAGTGTCATCTAATTTCTATTGATTCATTCTACTTAAATAATTACAATTCATTTCCATAAATATATTTCTCAGTATACAATACAATTTAGTTAGTTAGTTAGTTGGGTTATCATCATTGCACTCCTGACATGTCTATAGGTGTTCAGATCCTTCCCTCAGTATGAATCCCAACGTCCGATGGCTAATAGTACCAGTTTTACGTTGATTAACAAGTCTTATGCTGTGTCTGGTGTGCATCTCTTTTTTTGCTATTTCCCAAGTCTGCCATTCTGGCGAGTGATGTGAATTCACTGCCCCCAAAGTCCTTTATCCTTCCCATTTCTCTGAGGGCATTAATAATATCACCATGATCCGTAGGCTTACTGTCGGTAGTGATAGTGGATCCAGCCAAACTTTCAGCTCTTTCATTTCCATCGACGCCTGCATTTCCCGGAACAAATACAAAGGTGACCACGCACAGTGGAATTCTGTAATGATTCAAGCCATTGTCTTCGCACACAATACAATTTAGTGATGTCTGTATAAAAATTTGTGATTATTTGTTTCATAAAAACTGAAATTTGTATCGCTTTCCTGAATTTGAGCGCGTCCATTTTTGTAAGATCCAAAACATTTGTTTACAGATGGCGACTATCGCGAACGACGCCATGTCTTGTTACCTCTAGCTGGTCTAAAAATCTACATTGAAAAATCTTTGAATAAACACTTTAGTCGCTACAAACGAAAATGACGGTTGGAAATGCAGTAATAGAAGCTGCATGTGCATCATTAGTTCGCGAATATTTGAACAAAAAGGTATGATACTTAAGAGCTTGACTGACGGGTATTCAAAGTCAATTAGTAATAGTAATACTAGTATTAGTATTACTATTAGGTGGTAAAAATTGTGTTTGTTTTTAAAACAAATTAAATTTAGAAATGCCTTGAGCGTTGTAAACACAAAAAGTAAGGTAACCTCCTTGATACCTGTAACCATAACTGTATATATTATTCTATTTTGTACTGTTTTCAATCAACCCAATTGAATTAGAGAAAGAAAGCAGCAATCTGATATATCCTAATCAATTATTATTATCCTCACAGTTTTTTTTCCTTACCATCTGTTCATATGCGCCAACACATGTTTCTGTACACTAGAAATGTTGGACACTCTTGTTGCATATGTGTAGCCATCATTTTAATAATTGAATTGCAGTGTTGCATTCATAGTCTCCTATCTATAAACAAGTGAAGTTTCAATCTGTTATGACCTGTTTGCAATAGGAAGAATGTTTCTTTTTAACTATGCAGGGATCATATTGGAGGTATCATTTTTCAGCACTCTTCTGAATACCAGTCGCAAATTATTTACTGCGAAACACATCTCTTTGAGAGCCTTAAGTGGTTATGTAGTAACAACATTTAGGCCATCGTCATCAGTTTCCACTTCAGTCAATATTGCTCGATGGATAGCAATATTTAGATGTTAAGCTAAGCATCTTAGGGAGGAATAGTTTTTTTTATCCAGTGAAGCATCATGGGGAGGATAGATTTATATCCATTGTTTGATCATCGTAGGGAGAAGTAGTTTATGATTTATTAAAGCATCATGGGGAGGAATAGTATTTGATCCATTATTCACTTTACCCATGACTCGCCTAGTGGTTTCTAGGGACACATTTTTGAGGCACACAAAAATATCCACTACCACCTAAAAAAGCATGTTGTAAAAAGCGACTAATTAGGACTTTGCTGAAATCAGATGAGTTAGGGCGAAAGGCATAGATATGGCAGCCTATTTGTAAACCACAACACCATGTGCCAACCGCCCTTTAAGTGGCGAACTAAAAGAAAGAAGATTACCTACCCATAACATGATCATTGAGCATCTCACTGCCGTTATCGCAGCCTAGCTGTAAATCACAATGCCGATAGAAAGGCGAAGATATCGCAGCCTAGCTTCTAAACAGCAACACAACATGCCAACCACTTTTTAAAGGGCTGTAAAACACCGGTCACCCCTTGACGGGCAGAATACTTACAACGGTACTACCCGAAGACTCGAGAGTTTGGTTTCCATGAAATTATATAATAAATCGGAGCAAAGTTCATAGTGTTCCTATTCCAAAGTTTTAACTATATGACCTCTTGAGGTCCTGGATGGGTTTTTTCCAGCAGTGAATAATTTGGGACTGGTATTCGGAAGAGTGCCCATTTTTCTCATAGTGTTGGTGCTCTAATTCCCACTTTGTTCTATAAATGATTCTTAATAACCTTTGGGTTTTTTCTCTGTCAGGCTAAAGACTCCACCCCTTCCCCCTCTTTTTTATTTGCCCCACATACACACACATTTCTTAGACAGTATGTCAGTCTTTTCATGTTAAGGTACAACAGGAAGCCTGCACTAGTTAATTGTGATGGAATCCATAGTATTTCAACTGATGTGTGTTGATTCTTTAGTTAAGTGAGAAAACACATTGCTGATAATGTTTAGAATATCTGAGGCCAATGCGCTGAGAGGCATGAGTAAAAGCAGTCACAGACTTTTGTTCAAGACCCAGTAAAAGAGTGTGTGAAGTTCAAGTCACGTGGGGGTCTAAGGAAGACCAATGCAATAAATGTGAACTGTGCATATAACTCAAGCCACTTGAGTTAACCTTCGTGACAGTGTGGAATTAATGCACATTTTGTATTCTTTCCTAGGATGCAGAACAGTGAGGTTCTTAAGTGCTGACTAGTGTTGTTAGTCATTTCTTTTCTAAGCCTGTCATGTGCTGACTTGTGGGTGTGTTGCCATTGAGCAGTGCTGACATTTTGATATAAATATATAACCCTTTAGGCTGTAGAAATATTATATATAATAAACAAACGGACAATGTTTGATTGACACTCATAGAAAAAAGTAGAGAGAGAGGCGCTTTTTTAATATCCTACCCCTAACAGGGGAAATCCACAGGTCATGGAACAGTCTAATTTTTCAGGGGTGGGTAGATACGCTGCATGCAGTCGTGGGACCTAGGCACCACTCTCTCGTGGGACTTAGATGGGTTGGGGTTAGGGCCAGTTCTAGATGTTTTGGGGTCGTTAAAAGTATCAGAAAGCCAGGAAACCCAGTCTCATCACCCTCTAAAATATTGGACTGTCCTGTGACGTCATCTGGGGTAGGATATTATGAAAGAACTAAAAGATAGGACACACTAGACAAAATAAAAATGAAAAAGCTATATTATTATGCCGGGAATCAAACCTGTCACCTCCAAATGGCATGTGCGCCTCTCTATGGAAACAAGTAAACTAAGAATATCACCAGCTAGGCACCCTAAAAAAAAGTGTCTTCATTGTCCATGTCTATCATACAGCTTGAAATCCACAACTATGGAATACGGACATAATTCATCTGAAAGCATTGAAATGGCACCATAGGTTACAGAAATTTATATTAACCAAGCATAGTTCGAATAACAAACGTTTTGACATTTTGGTATGTTGACTTATTATGTGTCACATTGTCTCCATGACAGTCCCATTTTTTCAGTGTGTCCTGGCCATCCTGTCGGTGCTTTAAAAACACCCATAAATTGTCTCGTTTTGTAAAAATCTAAAGATAAGCTTGAGAATAGAACATACCTTTATAGCTATATCTGAAGATATTATCAGATTTAATAGTTTTATATATTTTTAGTGTCTCAAATGTGTTGATGGCTAATAGGGGAAATATGACATCAGAGTTTTTATTTTAAAAGTTATTTGTTCACAGAGATATCTTAGTCTTTTCCAGTAAGTGCACTCTGGCCTACTCAGTTAACACCTGGATGCTCTGCTGTTTTGCTGTGAATTGCCATTCTGTTTGTAATCAGAGGCAATGACAGCATGAAAATGAATGTCTATGGCATCCTCGTGTTTGTGTTACTCCTTGGAGGAACTTGTGCTGTGGGACTTGTGAAAGACCTTAAATCACATAATTCTAAATTACTTGACTTAAGCGTCTGCTGGTGTTCAGCTTCTGCTGAGTTGACCATACTGGCCTTCTGAGACACCCTCTGGAGCTCATCAGCATAAAGTCGACTCCGACTGCTCGCAACTACAACCATTTGGGATTGCTGATATAGCTCACATATTGCTGCTCCTAGGTCTGTGACAGTACCTGTGTGTTTCTGTGTGTTTCTACTGTCAGCAGCTTTTTTGTTTTGCACTTTTTCAAGCCTTGTATGTTCTGAAATTACTTTAGATGCTTCTTTTTACCACTTTGCTCAATTTTTGATGTTCAGAACAATCCATCCCCTGGATTTTCGGTTGCATATTTGTGTATTTGATAATTAATGACTTGGCACAGTGACAAGGGCAATTTCTTAGACTAATGTAAAAATCAAAGTATTTTGATATACTTACAGACAGACAAGTAAGTAGGCAACCTAGAATATGTGAAGGCCTAGGACTTCACACATAAGTGGCAGTATTTGATATGCAACACCTTTTACCCACTTTATGAGGCTGGATTTGTTCCATAACCGCATGAGTAGGTAAAAGGAATAGTACCACCACTTGGGATTGAACCCAGACCACTGTCTTATGTCTTATATATACATTTTTTTTCTTTTAACGACAGTATGACATAGCAATGTTGATCTGTCAAGATCATTTACTCTGTATCTATTGAGTCATTGCTACCAATAACTGCACTGTTTTATTGATGAGCTTATAATGCATAATAACTGAGTTGACCCAACAAAAAGGGTGTTTGTCTCCAGATGAATACCGATGTGTTAGCTTTCATAAATACCAATGTGTTAGCTTTCAAATACCAATGTGTTAGCTTTCATAAATACCAATGTGTTAGCTTTCATTTGCTGACTTGAAAGTATGTAAAGTATATCTGTTTCCATTATTTGTATTGTCTAAAGGGTTTCAAAGGCACACTTGAGAAAATGGATGAAGAATGTCCACGTAATGAACTGAGTATCAGCAACAGACAGGCTTTGATAAAACATGTCAATCTTCAGAAACTCATGACAAGAAATAAGGTAGACGTCTTTTATTGTACTGCTTCAGAGTAATTTTTCTCAAAGTTAAGTTTTAGACTATATAGTCAGTTAGTTGACAGATCATCATCACTGCACATGAACCGGTCGCTACATAAGTGCATGGATTTGGATCCTCTTCTCAATAAATCATTGCTGCGTCCGTGGCTTAGGCGTTGCGAGTCTGACTCGTAATTCCAGTGTACCGCGATTGAAACCCACTGCTGGCTGCGTGGATTTTTATTATAGTATGGGGCATCGCAGGTCGACCCAGCCTAAAATGGGTACCAGGATGGCTGTCCTGGGGAAGTAAAGATGGCCGGCGTAATGCTGACAACATTACCCACCTAGTGCCAATTGGTTTGTAAAAATATGGGAAGCTCTTCCCATACGCTCAATGCAGATAAGGCGTAAAAAGGAATTTTTAGTTTTTTTACTCTCACTAAATCAATTGAGAGAGAGAGAGAGAGAGAGAGAGAGAGAGAGTGGGTGTATCTGGGGGGGGGGGGGGGGGGGGGGAGGGGGGTCAAGAGCATAATTCAGTTTGAAATAGTTTGTAACAGACAATTTAGGCAGTGTTCTTGAAAAGGTGAAGCAGATTTTCTTTACAGAAGGGATTTTTTTCACATTAGGCACTCATCATGTAGAAAGTCCTTTGCCAACTGTCCTACTTTGTGAACTTTCAAGGGTGTTCTTGATATCCTGTGTCAATAATCATGTTGATCAGCCCCTGCCTCTTCTTCTTGGTACCATACTCTCCATTACTGTTCTGTGCATACTATTATGGTATTTAATATGGCTGAAGTATTTAACACGAAATGATACTGTCTATGTGCCATTTTTCCCCTGTGTTCAGATCCTGAAGTATATCAGTTTTGGCCTATGATACTCTCAGAATATTTCTGAAACTTTCACGTTGAAAAGTCAGGTTTTTAGATACTATACAGCTTATATCCAGCAGATTCAAAAGACTTTTTTTTTTTATGAGTAAGGATCCTAAGTTTATCCATTATCTGAATGCTATTATTTATAATAGTGGTTTTTTTCTTGTCTTACTAGTCAAGCTGTGGTAGTCAGCCAAGATACTGTTTTTGAAACAAATAAAACCAACAGAGAAAACAATATGGCAGTCAATATGTTACACATGTCAGCTCCAAAGAAAAGAGATTTCCATATTACAGGATTCAAACAATCCCTCATTATGTGACACAAACTGTAAATCCAAATTATAGTTGAATAGGTGTATGTAATTTCTTTAGGGCAGGGCTTTTCACGGGCCAAATCTGGCCTGCTGAGGCCTAGCAAGTGGCCTACGAATTACCTGTCAGTTATTTTGCGTTAATGATCTTTCTATGCCAGTTCTCTGGCCTGTGATGATCAAAATTTTTTAACATCTTGGCACTGGAGTAAACTTATGTGAATGGCCTGCTATAGGGCATACCCAAAGCAAATTTTAACCTGTAATCTCTTATTGGATACTTAACAAGTTTTGTGGTGCAGTTTAATTAAGAAGATTTAAAGGACAGTCTTCAAAACATAAAAGCATCTGTGGTCTGGTGTCTTTAATCCTTTCACATACAACAATATTGCAGGAAGAAAAACAACCTTTGGAAGCAATGTTAGAAATAATGACAAAGCATTTCATGGAGAATGTGCCTTATTGTTCAGTTCAGCACTTGAAGGAATCCGAATCAAGTCCAGGGCCTGTGAATGGGTTTAAACCAGACATCAGCTTTGGTCTCAAGGCGAATGAACTTGTTCACCCTCATCCCGTAAAGAACATGAGGCAAGATGCCACAACCTTAGCAACAAAACGAGGTGACTAGCTCTGTGTGTTTTTGATGTATTCAGACTACTGTGTTGCTGACTGTTTTGTCTGTTATTAATGTGTTTGACTGGAAAGGTGACTAGTTCTGATTTTGTTATGGTATTGATTAGTTCAGAGAAAGTATACTTGTCATTATTTTGTTCTGTTGTAGACAGTTGTTACATGCATTTGCATGTGTGAAGGCAAGATGTGTAACCTTGATTGTGTCATATCAGTGTTTGTATGATATCATGGAAGACAGGCAAATAAACTGCATCTTGTTTCAGGAGCTAAAATATTTTGGTCATATCAGTCACCATAGCACATTAGAAGAAATAATAGAGCAGAAAGCATGGTACCAGGAAGGAGGGGCCGGGGCCGACCATACACGAAAATGGGTACAGGATATAAGTGACTCTTTGAATATTAAAGTGCACGAGGCGGGAGAGCTGCGAGAGACTGGGTATATCTTTAAGGCAGACCGTCATAAGAACGGTATCTGTAAAGGACCTGCTTTATGATGATGACTGATGTATCTTCTGATGTTGTGAAGTCCTAGGCTGTCCGCGACTCTCTTAATTTATCTTCTTTTTTGGTCTTCTTCTACTTCATTGGCGTTTCAACAATTATGGATTAATTCTCGCTTGGTGGCTAAACCATTGTGATATTTCATGCATTTTTCATATCAAAATAATATCGCCGACAAATGCACATAACTTTATAGTAAAGGTTACCAGTGAGAAAGTGACAACATAAATCATTTAGTGCTGGTCTTTACAATTGTGGAGCTAGCCTAGTTTGCCTTATCATGCTCAGTTTAGGCAGATAGGTATTTAATTTTAATATACAGGTGTATATTGAGAGGTAGACAAATAATTCTTGCTTGCTATATACATACAGTTTTAACATATGGCTGTGAATCCTGGACAAGCGGTAGGCAGGCCAAACAATTTCTTGAGGTCTTAGAAATGTAGTTTTACAGAAAAATGCTTAAAATACCTTGGACAGCCAAAAAGAGCAACCAAGAGGTTTTGACAGAGGTGGAAGCCCAAAGACATCTTATTATTTACATCAGAAGGAGACAGTCATCATTTTTCGGCCAGGAAGGAGGGATAGAAAAAGACATTGAGAGAAGATTCTTGACAGTCTTGTTGCATGGCATGGAGGTGTGTCGGCACACGAATTGATACATGCTGCAGGAGATCGTAGATTGTGTATTGGCATGATCGCCCACGCCAGTGGGCAAGGCACCTGATGATGATGACAGGGTACCCTGGTCTTTGTCCACTTTCTGATGAGCCAGCTTGGTAAACGTTCTATTTAGACTTGAAAAATTGTGCTTGTTTCATGCTAGAACTTACAATCCTCAACTAGGTCCATGTGGGAAGCAGAGACAGAAAAAACACACACACCAGAATTTCAGATTCCTTCAGTTTTATTGGAAAGGGACTCTCCTTCCAAACAGTTACATCTCTTCCTCCTCCCTTCTCATCCCCATCCTAGTAGGCAGTTAACTCAGCAAGGTAAAATTAGTTTAAATTGTAATTGATTTCATCCAGTTATTTTTGTAATTATCTATTTTAGTATTAAGCAGAGCTTAAATTATTTTTTACAACCCAATCAATGTATAATGTGCTAGTAGCAATATGATTTTTTTCTTCATGGGAACAGATTAACCATTTTCTCTTTTTTCTTATAAGAAAATTAATTTACTTTACATTTTTTTGGTATAAGTCCAAGGACCTGGAGTGTATTAAGGACGTTTACTGATGTACCATTGTATTCTAAATGGTAGTTTGATGTAACATTATGCACACACTGAATGTCGCTGTTGCTTGCTCTGCAAATAGAAAGAGGCCAGACCTACCATGATCTAGTAATGGATGAGGATGTGGAAGGAGAGACTGTAATTGGAAATGGTAAAGACAGTATCATGTCAATGGAAAGTGCACAGTCACCTCTTCACTATGCAACAAAAACACCATCTTCTCGTCCGGTCTCAGCTAAACATGGAGGAGGCACTATCTTCAGTAATGATTCTGTAAGTACCTCCAGAAAATAATGTGAAAGATACAGTGTTAACTCTTTCAGTCCCAGGGGTTTATCATCACTGGCTCAAGGGCTAGTAAAGATAGAGGTCAAATCTGCGCATCTTGCATTCTTTGGGTTTCTAGGTAGGAACCTATGAACATATAATGTACTCCTTAGGACTGAAAGAGTTATAGTGCTGAAAAAGGTGGTGAAAATTGGCAAAATTGCATTTAGTGTTGTGATTAAGGAGTAAAACCAGTTTATGCTATACAAACATTGCTTTTATTGTTCAGTATGAATGTAAGAAAAACACTAAAAAGGATACTCATATCCTAACCAAAATAAAGGAAGGCGGGGGAGCAGAATTGTGTCATTGTACAGCTCTAAGCCATTTTTTTTTTAAAAATAACTTTTTCTACTGAATTGCCTAAAATGTCTAGATAAAATATCTGAGTTTTTCTGGTAATATCTTTCCAGTCATTTTCTTTCTGTTCTACTTATGTATTCAGAATGCAGCATAGACTAAACCAAACATTTTCAATTTTTTCTTACTTTTCATTCAGGTTATCGCACAGAAAGGTAGAAGTCATAAAGTCAAATCATCAAGAGCACCAGCACACCAACAAGATCAGCAGATTAAGGACATTGGTTTACCAGCAGACAGCATTTATAACTCTTCAGTATCTCAAAATTGCAACAGAGTAGCAAACAGTGACACAATCCATAATTCAAAGTTTTCAATGGAAATACTAGGAGCAAATAACTCTTATGTTAATAAGCCCAACAAAGTGGTGAAAAAACCTTCAGGTAGTTCTCCAGTGTCTTTTGAAGCATTATTAATAAAAGGAGAAGAAAAGGCAAATTTACTGCACAGAAAAGTGCTAGATCCTAAAAATGATATTAAAAGTGAACAGTACAAAGCTGAGACCTCAAGTATGATGAATGAAAGGAAGCTGAGACAATGCAAACATGATCGGTAAGACAAATATGCTTGTAATTATCTCCCTAGTTAACGATTACTAGTCACTGAGTTAACGGTGACAGTGTCATTAATTCATAGCATTAGACCTGAATTTATGAGATCTTTTTCATCTCTTTCTTCTGCTGCTGCTCCTTGAGATGCCTGGTGTTTAGCAGACATTGTTGATCATGACTCTCTTTTCTCTCTGTCAGCTGATATTTCAACTCCTTCTTCTGCTGCTGCTCCTTGAGATGCCTGGTGTTTAGCAGACATTGGGATTCATGACTCTCTTTTCTCTCTCAGCTGATATTTTACCTTTTTCTTCTGCTGCTGCTCCTTGAGATGCCTGGTGTTTAGCAGATATTGGGATTCATGACTCTCTTCTCCTCTCTGTCAGCTGATATTTCAACTCTTTCTTCTGCTGCTGCTCCTTAAGATGCCTGGTGTTTAGCAGATATTGGGATTTATGACTCTCTTCTCCTCTCTGTCAGCTGATATTTCAACTCTTTCTTCTGCTGCTGCTCCTTGAGATGCCTGGTGTTTAGCAGATATTGGGATTTATGACTCTCTTCTCCTCTCTGTCAGCTGATATTTCAGCTCTTTCAATCCCAAACACACCATTACTCATGTGCACCAATCATGTTGTAAATTTGTGCGTCTGAAGTCAGACAAACTAAATCAACCCAACAACACAAGTTGCTCTCAGTGTGCTGTCTATTTTAACCCTGTTAATGCAGTACACCAGATTTTGTTGCCATCATTATTGCTTTAGTCAGGCATTAGCTCAGAAATTCTGGTACAGAAAGAATTTATGAAATTCATGTTATATAATCTTCTGGTACTTATCACGAACTTGCCCGCACAGCGAGAGTTCTTTTCCCTCCCATTTGAGCCGGAGCCAGTCGCACGGCCTGTCCTATGTTGTGAAGGTGTCATGTTTTCCTTTTTTTAACGGTTTAAAAGTTCTCTTTTCTCGTGTTGTCACAGCTCACTTGCATGATTATTTCGATGTTGTGCTACTTGGTTCATTGCCATGATGGTTTGTGAGTATCGAAACTGTGATGTTTTTATATTTCTGTTCCTTGTTGACGACTTCTTTTTCTGAGGGGAAACCACCGCCAGGGAATATAGAAATACAAAAACATCCTAGAATCGATACTCACGAACAGTCTTGCCTTCTGCGTTTCCCCCTGCAGTACTTCTTACTTGTACACAGGCGGCTGCAGCACCTAAAAGTGACTCATGACAACACAACCTCCCACGAACATTATATACGGTGAGCAAATGCCGATAAAGGCCATCTCATAGCACGCCCACAACATAGAGCAGGCTGTGCAAACCTGCCATGGCATGAATACCATCCGAATTGGAACTCTTCGCTTGCTGCTGAAGATGGGAGCTGAGCACTTATGGGAGTGTCACGAGTGCTGTGATGTCGATTCTTAATTCAGCATTCAACATATGTGGCATGAATGAGAGGGGAAGGAACTCTGGCCGTGTGGTCAAGTTCGTTATAAGTTCCAGGTTTTTTTTTGCCTAGCTGTTTAACATCTAAACATATGTCCTGCTCTTTCTTCCTTTACCTCTCTTGTCAAATATTCTCCCTTTGGTTCATGGATGCAAGTGTTTCAAATGCCAGGGTCTTTACTGGAGCTACAGAGTTGTCTGCAACTTTCTCAGAGCACCCTGCAGAGAGAGACTGAACCATATCTAATAAAGCTAAGGGCAGTGAAGTTAATCCTCTCACATTTAAATACCCTTTCCTGTGTATGTTCAATTTCTCTGCTCCTTTTCTTCTTCTGATATGCCCCATAAATGCCATTTATCTGTTCCTTCTGGTTTAAATGAGAGAGATTCTGTGATACTTGCAGCTGTAAGAGCTGTAACAAGATTATGACAGCACATCATAAATAGGGAGTTGCAAGTGGGGGGGGGGGAAGGGACGCCTTGGATTAGGTTTCGGTCAGTAATATTACCTTAACAGGCTTTAGGATATTTCACTGTCAGCTGACTTGAGTCTAGTGCTCATTATCATGTAGCAGGTCCTTCACAAAATGTTTTTCCCATCACAGCTCATCTGAAAGAGACTCTGTCCATCGCCATGTGCCTCATCTTGTGCTCTTTTCTGACCCACTTCTCATAAGGAATCTTTATTGAACTAATGGATTGGAACTTCCAGATGATAATGTTATAATAGTGTTATATTGCGCTATGAGGAGGCGTGGGACTCGCAGCCCATGGTGATGGTGAGTGGGACTAGCAAGATCCGCCGGCCTTTAGAAAAGTCTTCCACAGTTATAGCATGGAATTTCAGGACCATAGTTGACAACATTTTCGTTTAGTCTGTTTCTTCTAAGACGCTCAGCTCTCATCCTTTTGCAATAATTTCTTCCTTCATTCTCAAGCCATTTCTGATGTGCCCCCTCCACACAATATGGTCCATGGCATTTTGTTCCCACGAGTCCACCTCAGTACCTGTATCATTCATGACTTGCTTACACACATCTTTATATCATAGTAGAGGTCGCCCTCAAAATCTACTACCTATGCTGGTCAAAATGGACGCTAGACAGGGCTACTGTTTCGAGTCGTGGCAAAGTTTTTGCTTCTGCATGGCAGTTGTATTTTTGCTCCATTTTTAGACTGCAAGGATATATTTTCGTTGCCCAGCTACTTTGAGTGCATGGTGCGACCCTGTGAGCTGTGGATTTCATTTGGAATGTTTTTCGACTGTGACCAACGTGGTATTGTGTTGTGAATTGTAGATTCAGAAAATGGCGAGTGGCCTGTCGTCACAATATTGGGGCTACCCTTATGTGATTAAAATCAATTACCTCTGCTACCGTCGATGATGAATTGCATTTCTAATGTTGGACTGTTTGTGTTAGTACTTCTGATGGCTACCGTATGCTTTTAATGCATGTGTATGCTAGTGGCTAGTGCATATGCTGATACAGTAGTCTGTCAATCTCTCTGCAAGGGACTGTGATGAACATTGTGTATTTTTCATTGGCACAGGAGCGGAGCAACTATGAAGCTGAAAGCTTCTTCTACCTGTCTCTAATTCACTAGAGAATGTCCTTAAGGATTGAACTAATAGATGGATAAATTTTGACAGTCTATTTACAAAATTGTTACTATTGTGATTGATTGTCCTGCCAATTCTTTTACCATATGCCAATAATAAATTTGATTCAATTTTTTATTGATCATGTGACTTTCAATTCTGTTTTTGATAAAATGTAATGCATTTTCCTAAGATTATGAACATTTGACATGGTAGGAGAGTTGACTAAAAACCACCAAGGATAAAACGTTATGGATCAAATCTTATGAGTAAACATGTGGTCTAGTCAGCCCTTGATTATAAGGTTATAGTTAGTATCTTCTTCATTAAACACTTTCAGACATCAATCTAGTAAACAGCAGCTCTTTTGAGCATTTTGACATCTCCAAAAAGAGTGTCTTCAAAAGTTATATAGATTTGCCATACTAATTTTCAGTTCTGCATATGTTTTACACTCCTGCATTAAAACTTGAGCCATTATTTTACCAATTCTGCAGTTACATTTACATCAAGTATTGTGAAATAATGTTTAGTTGTGAGCATATGATAACACATTTCATTTCTTTTCTCCAGAGAATTTGATTTACAGAACTCGGTACCCATGTTGGATCTAGACTTTGGAGAAGTTGAAGATGTGGATATTGGAGGTTTAGAGCTAAAGTCAGTTAGCCCTGTGCTCCAGAAATCATTGAAGCCTCCTACAGCCCAGTCAACACCAGTAGATCTGAAAACTGCAATTGTATGCACATGGCTTGTATTTTCTTTGTTATATTGTGGCTTGATGGTTGATTTTTCCGTTATAAGTTAAAAACATTTCTTTCGTATCCTTTATAGGATGTTGCAGAACCAACCCCAGCATTTCTTGGCTGTTGTGGTTTTGCTAGGCAAATTTTATATTCAGTAGTTTGCCATTGCCCCCTGAATGGTCAGCTCTCGGTATCACTGTTGAAACCAACATAAGACAAACCAACAACAACTGGGATCGAACCCGGCACCCCAGCATTATGAATGATAAGTAAAGGTACTCAAATGTTTTCATTCCAGTCAGATTCTTCTTCTAGTAGATACCTTGTGGTGTCTGTAACCCTTCTGGCTTGGGTAATGTCACTAATTTCTGATGCACATGTTCTTTTAAACTGTGTTGTCAAACTGTCCTGTATCCTCCCCCTTTATTCCTTAACTTCTTCTGTCCTCAAGTTTTCTCGTTTTAATGATATACTCCAGTTTTCCCCTTCTGATAACATGCTCAAGATACACTCCAGTTTCCCCCTCTTATAACATGCTCAAAGGATTTGGATTGTCTCATTCTGATGGAGTTAACCAGTTCTCTCTTTGGGTTAATTTCTTTCATTTGTTACATTTTTGTTTGTCCATGAAGCTCTTATCCTTCTTGTATAAAATCACATCTCTGCAGCTTGGACATATTTTTTTGTCAATTGGCTGTCCATGATTCACTTGTATACATCAGGATTGTTCTGTAGCCTTTGAGAAGTTTCTTTCTCACTTCAGATACTGAAGATATCTTGCACATAATGTTCTTCTTCCTGTTAAATGCTGCTTTCTGCTTGAGTTATTTAAAATATAATTTTTCCTGCAAGATATTGATAAGATGTTACACATAATGAAAGCTGCTACAGTAGAATCTTGTTAACATGAACTTGTTAAACAGGAACACGATTTTGGTCTCAGCAGCCATGTGTTATTCTTTGACCCCAGTTAGAACAAGTTATTCTAACATGAACTCCATTTTCGGTCCCTTGGAATTTGTGTTAGTGATGTTTTTTTGTATATGGTACAAACACTTGACCAATGAACAAGCAGCTAGACATTTGACATGAGGCCCTGGATATATGTGAGAAGAGGTTGCACTTTATGGAAACAGAATTAATAAAATACAAAGGTTGTAAGTGACTGAATAAAAAGAAAGTTGTAAAGGGCATTACAAATTAAAATGGTGAAATGTTTTAGCCACATTAAAAGACATATTGTTAACATCAAATACCTTGCTGGGTGAGATGGGTGATCCTGTTTAAGTCCCAGCTGTTCATTATTTGAAAAGTTTTGTTTATTTCTACTTAAAAATTGTTTTAATTCTTTCAGATGTTGAAGAATATTGTATTAGGATCTCCTAATCAACAATATAGTGATGAATGGCGACTGCAGAGTTACAGTTTTTGTGATATACCCAACATTAAATATGGACTTGTACAAAAAAAAGTAAGTGCTTGTATTGAATGTATAGATCCTGTATTGAATACAGTAAATTTCTTTTTAATTGAAATAATTTGCTATTAAGGATTGCAAGTTTTGCTTATGTAAATATTTTTAAATATTGTACAATTTACTGTTATTTATCGGTTCATCAGATATCAGTGCTTCTGCCAATAATACTGTTACAGCATTATTTACAAGCTGCAGTAGCACAGTGGCTTGATACTTGTCTGCTTGACTGAAGGTTTCATGGGCTCCCAAGTTGAAACAGCCTGAAATATTTGTAAGAAAATGTCCTAAGAACTAAGGATGCTAGCATGATATTGACCACATAACCCACTGAGTTCTGATTCATATTTTAAACAAATATGTCTAGCATGATATACCATTTGTGCTGATGGTACCAAAGAAGACCTTACAGTGTTGACATTTGTTTTGCTGATTGTAAGTTATATTGAGGAATTGTATTGTTCTGCACGAGTTCAACACCTAGGAGAACTGGCTCATCAACAGCATCCTGTCTCCAAAGTTGAATTATTTTGGCCACATCAAGCCTCATGGTGGCTTGGAAAAGACGGTGTTGAGGGAGCAGTTTGTGGAAGGCGAGGCAGGGGTCGGCCTCCGCAAAGATGGATACAGGACACTGAAGATGCATTGGAAATGAAAGCACATGGGGCTGGAGAGCTGGCTAGGAAAAGGGATACCTTTAGGCGTGCCATGAAGAAAGCAACGTTCTGTAAAGGACTTGCTGATTGATGATGATAATTTGTAAGTTTATATTATCACAGTAGTGGTCACAGTACAAGTGTGTTGTATTGAGAGACCTGACTTTTGTTCAGTCACTCACTGGTATGCTTGCAAGTTATATTCTCAAGGGTTCCACACCTAACTACAGTCAGTATTATTGTTTATCTTTGTATCTAATTATTTGAGTTATAGATAACTCAACATCTATGGTTTTACTTTTGTTACTGGTTTATAACCATGTCATAGAATTGTTGTTAAAGGCCAAATTATAAAATAGATACTAGACATTCGATTCTTGGGTTCCGAAAAAAAAATTGTTCGAGAAGGAACCGGAAATGTTTCTTTATCATGCTTTGACCCAGCATATGCAAATTTCTTTCAGAATCTACTATGGGATTCAAATTAGTAAACATAGAAAAGCACATAACAGTCAGTAAATGCTATTGTTGGTTTGCAAGGTCCTGAAAAGAATATGTAACTAATTTAACTATATGATTTACTCAGCCTTTAAATATTTAAACTTATTCTGGTCACTTCTTCAATGCAAATGCTTATCATAAATTACAGTAATGAGTATTTACACCATTGTTTGTTTTTATCACATAATGACTTCTAAAAATTTAATCATCATCAGTATCTGTAGTGATCTTTTTCAGACAGTAAAATGTGATGAAGTTGCCAGCAGTGACACCCTCCTTCAGATACGTCTTCACATTTCTATTGTAGGTTGAGAAGCTTATGAAACTGAAAACTTTCTTTTTCGAATGGATGTTTTTTCTTCCTTCAATGGGTGGTATCATTTGTTCACCCATTTAGTTTATCTTCACTGGGTGTCATTAATAGCCTACCAGGTCATTGTGTCTATTCTCAGTCTCCTATTTCCAACTGGCATTTTAAACTTGCAGTTGTGAATGCCCAGTTGTTTTTTTTTACTGTATGCCACTTTGTCATATTTTTTTGCTTTACAAATGGTATAATAAATTGACTTTTTAAATAGTTGAATGACACAAACAATACATTGCAAAATATATTTACCACCATAGCTCATTATATTCCTGAAGTTACATCGACATAAAGTGATGCAAGAAATGAATCCTGTGGACTGAAGAGCCATACTTGATTATAAAGAAATTTCTTCTGCTGAACTCCAACAAATTTGCTGGTAAACTGGTGCACTATCCACTACCACTGTTTGGATGTGTGCATGTACGTGTGTGTGTGCATGTACGTGTGTGTGTGCATGCATGCGTGTGCGCTTGCTTGCGTCCGCAAGCGCGAGTTTATGTGTATGTGCCTGTTTACAAGGGGGAAGTCAATAAGTAAATCACAATAGTTATGGGATGGCAGGAAAATGTAGTTATTGTTTGTAAAGGTGTCATTAGGTAACAGCAACAATGAACTTTATGTCTCCGTTCGTTAAGTGGCGCTTGGTGTTGCATGCGCATTCACAGCACAGAAACAAAATGGCGACTGTACTTTTGGAGTGTACCCTCAAAGAACAACGTGCTGTTGTGTTTTTTTTATTTTTTAGGGGGAGGAAGGGCTGCCTCCAAGGGACATTCATTATGATGAAAGAGAAGACATGCTGAACAGGATTATTACTGGGAACAGATCATGTGTGCATCACTACCAGCCTTAATCATAGTGTGCTTCAAAGCGATGGAAACATCCTTCTTTGCCTTGTGTTCAAAAATTGAAAGTTATGCCATCAGCAGGGAAAGTTATGCTTGCAGTGTTCTGGGATTGCCAAGGAGTACTTTTAATCAGTTAAAAAGAAAAAAGGTGTCAATATGAATGCTGATATATACTGTAAAAATCTATCAATGCTTTGTGATGCAATTCAACATCCAGGCCTGCTGACTGGAGGAGTTCTGCTCCTTTATGACAATGCCACTACGTATGGCTCAGTTGGCTCTAGAGAAAATTACCCATCTAGGATGGAAACTTCAGGAACATCCTCCTTACAGCCCCGACTTAGTGATTTCCACCTTTTTGGTCCACTAAAAACCCACTTTGGCGGGAGACATTTCGTGAATGACGCAGAAGTTAAATGTGAAGTGAAAATATGGTTTAAAAAACAGAGCACACAGTTCTGTGAAGCAGGTTTGGGAGGACTGATAAAACAAAGCAAGTGCTTCAGTGTTGGTGGAAATAATGTTGAAAAATAAAGGTACAGTGTAACTGTAAAAATAACCGCTTTTCAATTTGTTATCATCTGCAGTTTTTTTTATTTTTTTATATAAACAACCATTTGTGACTTACTGACTTCCCCTCATAGTCTGTTATTACACTGAACATTTTGATTAAACATTTTCAGAGCGGACCTTGTGGTGTTCTTGCAGCTGTCCAAGCCTGCCTCCTGCAGGAAATGCTGTTTGGTGTTAATAAACTTCATGAGGCTAGATTGTATGTATAAAATATTCTTTTTAATTAAATCTAACTAGAAATACATTTTACTTAAAGATTAAAAAATTTGTAAAGTTGAATGGATCAGCTTTTTTGCACACTGCTTTTTGCCCCTTTAAAATTGGTGCCATTTGGAGAACTTGGTTGGCTTTATTGCATCTTTATTGGATCTCTTTATTAATTCTTCTGAAAAAAATTCTCCCCAGATATGTAAAGTCCTTCGCCTGCATTAACTGATGTTAATAATGTTTTATATTGGTGGTTCTTCCTTTTCTACAGAGTGTCACCATTTCTGCTTTGTCTACGTTGATCTTCATTCTCTAGTAACCACATAATGAGTAGAGCCTGTTAATCTGTTCTTGTAGTTGTACCGCTGTTGGTGTTATGACTGCCTTTTCATCAGCAAAAAGCAGCTCGTTTAGTATTTCTCTTATGTTTCCCTCTGTGCTGATGTTAGCTGGTCTGCAAATTTGGTTGAAATGTGTGTTTTGTTCTTTAACAGAAGTATTGATAAAACACACCCCTGTCTCATTGCAGATCTAATGTGGAACATCTCTGACATTCCTATGTTTATTCTGTTTGTTCTAACTGTGCATTGACTGTTAACGTATAAACTCTTGCACAATTTAATACGATGTTCGCCAACTCCGTAATCCTGTTGTACATTTCCATAATTGTTCTTATCGATGGAACATTTCTATTGGTCCACGAATGCGATGTGTAATTATTTATCTAATTCTACCAGGTTTTCCACTAATTGTTTTAGTGTGAATATCGCATTGGTACAGCTTCTGTTCTTCTGAAACCCTATTTGTCCTTCACTAAGTTGCTGTTAGGTGATAGGGCATAGTCTCCATTCAAGGATCTCGCAAAATATTTTCTCGGCGTGGCTCAGTATTGAAACTCCTCTATACTTCTCACAGTATCCTTACTGTCTTTCTTCATACAAGTGGGTACTGTTATTAAATTTCTCGAATCCTCCAGTGTCTTTTGTGTTGTCCTGACTAGGTTGACCAGTTTTTGCATCCATTCTACACCTACCCCTTCAGCTGCTTTGAGTAGTTCAGCAGGTATATAGCTGGGGCCTGGTGCTTTGTTGGACTGTGCCTATTTTACGTCTTTTCTGATTTCTGTGAGTGTTATGCTTGACTCTAAGTTGTAATTTATTTACCTGTTGTTTTCTTGTGTCTTTCTTGCTGCTCTGTATTTTTCAAGATCATCTTGATTTTTTCTTTTCACCCAAGCCTAGTATCTATATTTCTTTTCCTTCTCTGCTGTTTTTATTTGCTCATTCCACCAGGGTGTTATTAATAGTTTTTTGCTTCTCTTCTTCACCATTTCACATGTTCCTTTTGTTGCTTCTAAAATGATCTTTTAAACATATAACATTCCCTCTCTTCTTTTTTGGTTTCTTTACTTAGCCTGGTATAATTTTCAGTAAATCTTTGAAAGCATGTTTCTTCTATGTTGGCATTCTTTGTTATTAATTTTTTTGTCTGTTTCTTTTGTAGTCAAATGTAGTCCTCTATTATTCCTTCCTCTTTTCATCTTCGTAGTCAACATGACTGCCTTGTGGTCAGTGTCTGTACACAGGTTTGGGATGGCTATTGCATTTATTACCCTTCTTCTTATGCTTCTCTTGGTTAATATATAAGCTATTTGACTTTTACAGTTCAGGTCATTGCATTTATACCATGTATATATGTGAGACTGTCAGTGTTGGAAATAAGTATTTTTTAGTATGATTATAAGCAGTATATATATTTAACATAAAATAACTACCTATACCGTCCTTTAAAGAAAGAAAATTCAACAGTAAATGAAAAGCAAAAGAAGTTTTATTGCTCCTTAACTGCTATACAGCAGCAAATAAATGGTGAAATGAAAAGGAATAAACGGGAATACCTGTTAGCACGAGTCAGCAGGACTGACATCTGATTCTGGAGTACAGCGCCATCAAAACATAAACAGTGCCTCCAAAAAACAGTGGCATGTCAACAAGGTAAAGGTAAATTTCAGATGCCCTCCGAAATCCATATTAGAGATGTAAAGGGACAGAATTATTGATGGCCAGATTTTTAATGTCAGTGTGTAATGTATTTTATGTTTCACCATTTCAGCAAAAATGTATCAAGAGGTGACAGATCAAAGGCACTAGCATTAGCTCTAAGTAATATTTTCTGGAGAGCTGGAGATTATTCACGGGCTGTTGTCACTGTGTAAGTGTTTTTGTTTGTTTAAGATTCCTAATGTTTTTTTGTTTTTTTTATGTCTTAGAACCGTCATGTTTTTTTTTAACTTATGAAATGGGCAAGACAGCCTGATGTTTGCAAGAGAGCTTGCAGTTTTTGAAACTTGTGAATATGTGAATATAAGATGATAATTGTGATTAGATTAGAGAAGTTTGGTAGTTATGATTCTTTGGGCATGTTGTAATGGCAACAAACTCTTTGAATGACTGTTGAAAGCATTTGGTTGTAAGTAAAAAACGTTATGACAAAATTCCATCAAAACTACAAAGCCATGGTTTCCGTAATCAAAAATATGTCACAAAACATTATAAGTCTTTTATTAGCTTGTACACTAGACCCATGTTTTTCAACCTGTGGTTTGCAAAATTGTCATAATGGCCTGCCAAAAAACGTTCTGCTCAGTCATGTAGCAGCTCTCAGAAACATGTGAGCCACATGTTTTAGATTTTCTAACCTGCAAGCAGGAGCAGATGTTACATTATCCACACACAAAAAATTGAAATTGTTCATCATTGGACTCAATAAATAAATAATGTGCTGTCTATATTTGTGTTTTAGATATGTATATAAACTTTTCATAGTCCACAGGTGTTAAAGAAAAAAGGTTGAAGAATGCAGTCGAGACAAAAGCTTTAAATTGTTCTGATTTCTTATTAATTCTGAAAATTCATCATCAAGTGCAGATAATCATGATCCTCGTTAACCCCATACTCTTGCACAGTTATCTCATGTACTGGCATATTTCTGTGCCAGTGATTTAAGATTTCAGAACCCACTCTGTCATTGAGAATAATTATTTTCACTGATGTTAATAAAGTTAGTTATGTATCTTTTACATGACATTGTAGAACCAACCCCAGCGTTTGTGACTGTTTGGCTCTACTAGACAAATTTACCTTCAGTGCTTTGCAATTTACTGAATGGTCGGCTCTCAGTACCACTGTCGAAACCAATGCAAAGCTGTTTGCTGCCAAATCACATGCAGTAGAATAGAACCAGGTGCATAGAGTTATAAAGTATGTTCGCAGTGCCTAAGCTTCCACTTCACTAATGTACCAGTTATTGATTTATTTTGGCCTTTTTCTTTTCATGATATTGTCAAAGAACATAAAGTGTTTAGTTATTTATGTTTATTAATGATAGGTTTCATCGTCATTTTATAGCAGGTTCTTTACAGAACATCACTCCAAATACAGCCCGCCAAAAAAAAAAAAAAAACTCACTCATCTATTGTAGAAAATATTTCTGTTTCCTTTGTCTGTGCCTGGCCGTGCTAATACTTCCAGTTTGTCAAATATCACAAAAAAGTATTTGTTGGCATCTGATAAACTTCAGTAGAAGTAAAAGTCATGCCTCTGCTTGAACATTTTTTAATAAATGAATTCTAGCACTACATGTGTAATTCAGCAGTTAGGGGTTATCTCTGTTTGTCCTATGAACTTGTTTCTTAAGCTTATTATGTCCTATGAATTTGTGCATGCAAGTAAGAAATGCTCAGGTGTGAAGGAATTACACGAGATGTATTATGAGACAGAAGAACTTATCCCCATATAAGTTCTGGGGCACCGATGTGCCTGAGAGACATGGAAACAACAGTAAGCATACAAATAAGTCAGATCTGTAAAACGGTTGTGCACACAACACTCAGGTTCTAAAACAAGACTAAAGTCCAGAGATGGGTGAACAACCAGAACTTTCTGCTGAAGTTTGCAGCCGGTGAGCACCAAGAAGAAAAAGAAGTAGAAGACAGAAGAAATTGAACTAACATTTTAAATACAGTAAGTTACTGTAGCCGCTATTTGTTATGTAGGAGTGCAAGAACAGTACATTGTTTTTTGTAGTGACCATGTTGCCCTTGTTTGTTTACAAGCACTTTTGTCTGTTGAGTTTTCTGGTCACAGTTTGTGTTGCAGTTGTATTTGTGCTAGTACTTTTCCGTTATCTCTTTTGAGCTTTCTAATCACAATGTGTGTAAATTAACATTTGCAGTTTTTTTTTTTTAAATATATATTTAAAAGATATGTTAATACCAGAATAATTCCCTAGTATTTTAAATGTAATTTTGTCCCCTAATGCAAATTATAATTTTTATCTTTCTGTGTGTTTTTCTTGTAAACAGATTATCGCAGTCAACTCATATACTAAACAGTACCAAATTTAAGCAAGATTATGTTACAGAAAGGGTGAGTTAATATGTCTTCAATATACCACCAGCGTTCTAATTTCTTTACTGTTTATAAATCAGTTTGTGGCATGATGATTTCAGTCACAGGCAATTTAAGGCTGTTGGGCGGTGTGTAACTGGATACCCTGTACTTCGCTTCAACCACCAGCAGACTGTCCTGGATTTACAGATCTTCTTGCAAGACTCCTGCCACATTTCCTTGTTGTATGTCATGGATAATGGTTTATATCGGCCTAAACTGAGTTGGGGATCTTGGATATAGGGATCATATAGGGCCACACTGGTCGAAAAGTCATGACCATTCAAGAAAGCCATGCAAGAGTCCTATAAATACCACACAAAGTGGTCCAGTGCATCTACACGAAGGGTACAATTGCCTAAGAGAGATGTCTAACAATATGAGGAGGTTAGATGCCCATTTTTTATATGTAATCAAAGTCACAGGTCTGTGGACTGCTGTCTGGGGATCCCTAGAGGGTGCAGCCCATAAAGAGTGGATGGCCCAATATACAGATTTGGGGTTAAGCAGTTATGTGCAGGGCATGACAGTTACTTGAGCGAGTCTAGTGTGAGAGCATCATGTGTCAGCTCTGCATTTATGGAGGCTTCCTTGGATGGCAGATAATGCCCATGTTCTGCCCCTGCTTTTTCCTTTAGGTATGACCAGTCTGCACTCAGCTGGTCACCTTTGTTTCTCCGAATATTTCCTGGGAATCATTTTGTAGGTGGGGTCAAGCTTGGAGCCCAGATCAGTTTTTTGTTTTGTTTTTGATTTGAATCTTTGATGAAGATTGAACATCAGACCACTAGACTGGTAGGCAAATATCCTAGTCACTGTGCTGCTGCAGCTGCCAGGTATGTGGGGCTAGAAACATGACTGGGATGAATACATGTTACACAAGGACTAATATGGTCAGTGTTATCACCAGTCACCTTGAACATGCCAGAGAAATCTTCATGTGTTTTGCTGACAAGCATGAGAGGTCATGGTTCTCTATAACACATGACCACCAGAGTTGTGGATCAGGTCTGTGTTTTTCGTTCTGATAATGCTAAGCGGCCAAGTCATCCAGAATAATCCCTTTGTTCTTTCCCCAAATTTTTCAGTTTTCACTAGGTTTTCAGGTGTATTTCTCCTTAAAACATGCTCCTTACAGCATGTCAAAAAATAAACTTGGTTGTATGTCTAATCTCTTTAATCACTAACAGTTTGCATCTGTTTCTTGAAAGACTGCCTTATTTATTTTTCTCTCCAATTTTTCCTTAGAAAACAAATTTTTGCTGTCAATAAATGTTTCTCATTGTGTCTGTGTAGTGTCCATGATTCACATGTGTACAACAGTGTGGGTTCTATGAACCTGTGATAGTTCTTGTTCAAATCTCTACAAGGAATTTTCTGTCAGATTAATTGTGTTAACTACAGTAAAACCTCATTAGCAGGAATCCCAAAGGATTAAAAATCAAGTTTATGTTAAAAAGAATTTGTGCTAAATGGGAAATAGTAACAATAATACATCTCTTCTAGGACCCCCAAAACATTTCGCATTAAAAAAATGCTCTTCTTAAACGAGTTCATGTTAACAACTTTTTACTTATTTCAAGATATGTGTTCCAGTTTACCTCCTTAAGAGGGATTTAAATCTGAAGACCAAAAAATGAATACTCTTAAGACACTGCAATTTTTGAATTCAGTCTAAAAATAGTCTGCCTACTTTTCTAGAAAAGATGTGGAGGACAGCAAGAGCAAGGGGTGCATGATAATTTCAACAAACAAAAAATACAATTGCAAGCCATTGTGTGTGTATAATAAAGGCATAAAGAAATACAGATCAGTTGTTCTGTGTTTAGACCACACAGTGACATCTAATGGAAGTTGGACAGAAATAAACAATATCCAAAGTTGACATATTTAAATTGCAGTAAACAAAATTTTCAACTGATTCTTTTAGAAGAGTGATTACCATGACAAATAGAAATATCAGTGTGTACAAAAGTCATTTTTTTGTGTGTGCAGTCTGTTCAGTAAAGGTATGATTACTGGACAATTAGTCTTGATATGTTGAAGAAACTAGAGGTGGTAGATCTAAGATCTTTGAGAAGAATTTTCAAAAACATTGTGACGGTTTAAAAAATATGTACACGTGCACTCACACAGATAAGTAATGCTAAATATTTTTTCTTTCTTCAGCTGAACATCTACACATTTACAAATTTTAGTGAGCTCTCAAGCTTTCTGTTACAGTCCGTATCACAGGTGAGACTGGTTGAGTGTCTAAGTGTGTGTGTATGTGTGTACGTGCGTGTGTTTGTGCAGGCTTGCAGGTGTGTTTTTTTTCTTATTAAATCAGCTTATTATATTTCTTCTTCTTCTTCTTTTTTTCTTCTTCTTCTTCTTCTTCTTCTTCTTCTTCTCATTTACCAGCTGTAAACCTCCGCAAAAAGTTCTGATTATTCGTCCACCTCTGGACTTTGACCTTGTTCCAGAACCGTTTAATAAATCTGGCATATTTGTGTGAACACTGTTGGTTCCTTGTTCTCGGCCAGATCCTGTCTGACTGGAGGAAGCTCCCAATAAGTCGACTCTTATGACATGATTTTGGACAAGCATCAGTTCTATTCTTGTTTCTCAACAGTAGGGCCCTGGAACTTACACTGAGAGATTTCCTTTCTGTTTTAACATGTTGCCTCCATAACCCCTATATCTTAGTAATATAATGACAGAACAAAAACAGCTATATTCCAAACTGTTGGTGGCTTCCTAATGTTTTAAGCTTGTGAAATCATTGTCAAAACCTCCTTTCTTGTATTTGTAGTTTGCCACGGTGGAAGAGTGTATCTTTGATTAGTCCCAGAACTGTGCTAGATGTTGCTCAGGCACCGAAAGCTCACTTAAGTCAGATGTGCCATCGAAGGAGAGAAGCCATTCTAAGAAAGAGACAATCCTGTTGCCACACATGTGAGCCAATGCAAGTAGAGGCTATGGAAGGCAGATCCAGCAAATGTCTGTTAAGTCAGATTCACTTAGTCACAGGCCCACTTCATCTTATGACATTATATCTTAGAATTTCTTAGGGTCAGTTTTTACATTTCTTGAACTGTACATTTTTTAATGTATTGTTCTTTCTTGTTTTCAGTTTGAGACTGATGGTAGCCCAGGTGTTATACTGACACTATACTCAGCCATTCTGTCAAGGAAACCTCATCTGTTAGTACAGTATTTTACAACTTAAAGTCTGTTACTAGTCTGTTGATATATATCTCATATTCTGATTAGTTATCAGTACTGGAAGCTAAAAGTAAGCTTACTGGCAAAGAAAAATATGTATTAGATGGAACTGATGTTGATGTAAAGCCTCATTGATTTTAGTTAGTTAGTTGATACTTTAACAACTCGAAGAACTGGGGAAGTGAGGACTTCAAGAGTTGTATGGATGCAGCCTATTCTTGTGTAAGCACGTGAATGCTAGATGATGAGTATCAAAATGGTAAATATATTAAGCGTTTGAAGGGGAGGGAGGCATTTGGAGTTGAGGTCTTTTGTTAAGAATAATAAGAAATATTGAAAGGAACTTTAGGATTGGTGATTACTTGGACAGCTGGGGATTGGTAGTGACTTGAATAACTGGGGACATGATAGTTTTAACAACTGGGAACTGGTTTTTCTTGAGCTAGGTAGGCAACATACTCATCCATATAACAAAGTGTATCAAAAACTGCTGCAAACTATTGTAATATTTTAGTATTGCAAAGTTGTGATTTTTCCCTGTACTAGCTGTAAGAAAACTGTTAGAGACAGGTTTAAATCAAAATCAAGCTGTTTTTTTTTTTACATCACCAGAGTGCGTGGAGATTTTGATGTTTCTGAGCAGACAACTTTTATTGGATTCCATGGATATTGTACACAGGTAACAGTAGTAAATTATTTGTTCATAAAACTGTTACAGGTAAATCTTTAGTCTCCTATATAGTCACTAAAATATTCTTGTACTATCCTCTCATCATGGCCAGTGTTGGTATGGAATGTGAATATTTCTGTAGAGACACTTCACATTATGAAAGTAATCAAGTATTCCAACATCACAGCAAAGGGGTCACCCATAATTTCTCCGTTCCTGTGCCAGTGAAAACCACACAGATTGTCCATTGAAATCCCTGGTGAAAAAATTAACAGACTGTATTGTAGTCTTGACATAAGGCAGCAGTCAGAGGCACCAGAGTTTGTCATTGGTGTAAGCAGCAGCTACAACAAATCAGTAGTTGTACATGCAGTTAAGGCATAAGGTACCACTAGTTCTGTGGCAACATGCCACTTACCATTTTCTGACTGCAGTTCACAACAGAGTCAGTGTTGGTACAGTTGAAAATCATTCCAAATTAAATCCACTATTCAGTGTCGCGCCATGCATTCAGCTCATTTGCAGGGCAGCTGAACTATAAACGTTTACTCCGCATGTTGAGAAAATTCAGTGGCTCACCATAGCCAGAAGGACATTTACTTGCCACTACTAAAACAGTAAGCCTGCCATGTTGGACTGAAAGGTCACTTTTCTGTTATCCAGAAATTGATGAAAATAGATCTTTGCTTAATCTTGGCCTACAGTGTAGCTGTTGATTTACAATCTTTGTAACTAAAAGATATGAGGGTTGTTTATTACAGAAGTGTCATAAATGTTATACAACAGTCAGTCTTGTCTCATACGTTTTGATTTTTTAAAAATTAAAATGCCTAACTCTTTCAGTATCAAGGAATACAGGATTCACTACTGTATAAATACTTTCATGTCTTGGTCATAAATGATCGGTCGATATTTTAAATTTTACTGCTAGGCAGTGTGAAAGCCATGGTAGCAGAGAAGGGCTAGATGCTTGCCTGCTGGCCCAAAGATCTTGGGTTCAAATCCACATTGTGTCAGATTTTGTTCACATTTGACCTTAGCACTGAGGCTGATCATCACAAATGGGTATCAGACAATGTCCTTGGAAGGAAAAGTGGCTGGCAGGATGTTTACCATTTACCAAATTACCCATTGATCTGTAAAACATATGTCTAGCACCGTATGCGGACACACCACTGGCATACAAATTGTCCTTTAATTACTGAATTTACTCACTGACTAGGTAGTATAAAAACACAAATCAGTCAATTGTAGAGTCTCTCTTTGATAAGGTACTGATCTGTAGAGTATAGCTTTGATGGCTGATCTGTAGAAAGCTTTGTCTGATCTGTTATAGCTTTGATGAGGTACTGATCTGTAGAGTATAGCTTTGATGAGGGACTGATCTGTAGAGTATAGCTTTGATGAAGTACTGATCTGTAGAGTATAGCTTTGATGAGGTACTGATCTGTAGAGTATAGCTTTGATGAGGTACTGATCTGTAGAGTATAGCTTTGATGAGGGACTGATCTGTAGTGTATAGCTTTGATGAGGTACTGATCTGTAGAGTATAGTTTTGATGAGGGACTGATCTGTAGAGTATAGCTTTGATGAGGTACTGATCTGTATAGCTTTGATGAGGTACTGATCTGTAGAGTATAGCTTTGATGAGGTACTGATCTGTAGAGTATACTGATGAGGTACTGTAGAGTATAGCTTTGATGAGGCTGATCTGTGATGAGCTTTGATGAGGTACTGATCTATAGAGTATAGCTTTGATGAGGGACTGATCTGTAGAGTATAGCTTTGATGAGGGACTAATCTGTAGAGTATAGCTTTGATGAGGTACTGATCTGTAGAGTATAGCTTTGATAAGGGACTGATCTGTAAAGTTCAGCTTTGATGAGGTACTGTCTGTAGAGTATAGCTTTGATGAGGTACTGATCTGTAGAGTATAGCTTTGATGAGGGACTAATCTGTAGAGTATAGCTTTGATGAGGTACTGATCTGTAGAGTATAGCTTTGATGAGGTACTGATCTGTAGAGTTTAGCTTTGATGAGGGACTGATCTGTAGAGTATAGCTTTGATAAGGGACTGATCTGTAGAGTTCAGCTTTGATGAGGGATTGATCTGTAGAGTTCAACTTTGATGAGGGACTGATCTATAATTTTTTTTATGCATAAGAAGAAAACAACTAAATAGTAATCCATCGATTTGCAGTTCTTAAAATGATAAAAGAAAGGCACATTCACTTATCATGATTTTTTGACACATTTTGTCTCAGGAGCTAGTGAATCTGTTGCTGACTGGTCGGGCAGTATCCAATGTCTTCAATGATATAGTACAGTTGGACTCAGGGGGAAGTAGCCAAGCTGTGATCCTAAAAGGAATCTGCAGTCGGTCAGAAATTGGATTTCTGTCTCTCTTTGAACACTACAAAACTTGCCAGGTTTGTAGTCTATAAGATTTATGTTTAGTTTTGTTTAAAGCGGCCGGTTAGGTTTATTTCAGTATTGATAAGATTTCAGCAAATAAAATGATTTACCTATATATTTAGAGAGAATACATTTTGATGCCTAACCATACAAGGCATATGCCAAAAGAGAAGAGGTATGTATTGCCTGAGATGATAGCATCAGAGAAACTCTACAGCTAAACAAAGTGTTTATGGTCGAGGCAGCAAAAAAGAGCAAATCAGAAAATTGTATCATTTTTGACACAAAAAGCACTTACAACTCAGATTACAACACATGTACATTTGTTGCATATCAGGACAGATTTATGTAAATATAAAAGTGAAGGACTGTTTTCTTTATGCTTTTGGTGCATTAGACGTATAGTGTTAGACAAATATCTGTATAGCTAATTCAGCACAGGATGGGTGATATGAACAACATCATGTCAGCCACTTTTACTTTCCATGACATTTTCTGGTGTCCATTTGAGTCTAGATTGACTCAATATTGTTTAACAAAAGTCTGTCTCTGTGAATTTGAACTCAAAACCTTTGGGGTGACAAGCAACGGCTAGTCACTGCACTACCATGCCTGCCTGATTGATCCTAAATGAATGTTTGACATTACATTTATGTGAATTGAGAACAAGGTTAATGCCAATCAGATTGTTGGTTTTGTGTAAAGAAACAAGATTAAACCAGAAATTAGTGAAGAACAGTGTGGATTTCTAGAAGGAAAGGTACAAACAATGCAATATACATCCTCTGGACTCTTTCGGAAAGAGCTGTAGAAGTTTAAAAAACAAAAATGATCTTTGCTTATGCTTCATTGACTATACGAAAGAATTTGATTTGTGTGAAACATGAAGAAATAATCAAACTACTGGACATGTCAAAAATTTATGGGGAAAATGTATTTATTATAGATAACATATATTGGCAGCAGACAGCCGCTATATGAATTAATAACAATTTGGGAACATTTCAGAGCATAAAGAGGGGAGTACAACAAGGATGTGTACTATTACCTAATTTGTTTTCAGTATCCAGTAAATATATAATAAGATCTTTCCTGGATATGTCAGGAATTGTGGTTGGTGGTCATAACATAAACAACCTGCGTGATGCTGATGACACCGTCTTGATATCGACAAGTCAGAAAGAACTACAGAAATGGATAAATAGGGTGGTGGCAGAAAGTGATAAAATAGGCCTCATGGTTTGAATAATTGGAAGACAGAAGTGATGGTAATTTCCAAGAAAAGAATATCTCAAATGTATAATAAAGGTCAAAAGCATTATTTAAGGACAAGTACATTTTGTGCAATAAATCCATGTCATTGGAGGTAAGCACCTGTGAAATGAGATGTTTGAGAATGGCTGCGAATAAAACCAGAAGAGATCGAGTGAGAAACGATGTGATTACAAGAACTATTGGAACCATACCCATCGTTAAATTTATTGAGAAGCAAAGAATGAAATGGTTTGGTCACCTAATGAGAATGGAACCAACGATGCCAGCATCAAGAGCATACAACATGAAAATCGAAACACCAAGAGGCAGAGGAAGACCAAGAAGAAGATGGATTGAAGGAGTCACGGACAACTTGAGACTTCATAACATCACGGCATATGAAGCGACTGAGCGCGCCCTGGCTCGGTTGCCGATCATCTGATAGACTGCGACGCCTAGCGGCACAAGCAGATTTTGACAAAAGAAGAAGAAGAAGATTGGAGGTAAGGAAAAGAATTCTTGCATGCCACATAGAGTTAGTTTTAACATAAGGCTGTGAATCCTGTACACTTTATAAACAAATCGAACAGCATCTTAATGCCTTGAAGATGTGGTTTTACAGAAGAATCCTTAGAATTCATTGGACAGCTAAGAAGAGCAACCCAGCAGTTTTAAAAAGAGGTGGATGCTTGAAGACAACATCACAAACATCAGAAAGAGACAGTCTTCATTTTTTAGTCATGTTATGAGAATAGGTAGACTTGAACATGTGACCAATTAAAAAAAAATCAATGGAAAGAGATACAGGGGAAGACATTGCAAGATTCTTGACAGCCTTTTGTCATGTTGTGAAGGGATGTTAACACATGACTGATACATGCAATTGCGGATCACGGATTAAGGAAAGGCATGATCGTCTATGCCAGTCAGCAAGGCACTTGATGATGATGATTATATTTGACTTGATCTCATCTGAACAGACAGTTTGATTACAATTAGACCACAGCATGTTTGCATTTTATGGATGATAGTCTATCTTGACATGAATGACAAGAGGTGTTCTCTGAGCAATAACTGATTGCTGTAATGATTAAGGTTAGAGCAGTGGCTCTTAACCTTACTAAGGCGGCGACCCTTTAGTACAGTTCTTCATGTTGTGGCAACCCCCAACCATACAGTTATTTTTGCTGCTTCAGAATATGTGTTTTGTGATGGTATTTAGCGACTCCTGTGAAAGGGTCGTCCAACCCACAGGTTGAGAACCGCTGGGTTAGAGGAACATGGTGATGATGTGCTTCCTTCTCATCACAAAAAAAATATTATATCCATGTGTGTGTTTCCAGTTTAGGGAATTGTAAAAAGAGGTTGTTGTAGATCTGAAGTTTTAAATTGGAGCACTGAATAATTTCAGTGCAGTGATTATGGTATTTGCATCTGCCCAGTGACTTCAGTATACAGTAGTATGTGTAATGTGAATGTAATATATTTATTCTTGTGTAAGACTTAATCCTGTGGCTTTTAACTTAGGCTGGATCCTACTACAAGACTCCCAAGAACCCCATATGGGTTGTATGTAGTGAAAGTCATTTCACTGTGCTGTTCTCAACATGTAAGGACCTAATTAATGACTGGAAGATGGAGCGGAGATTTGACTTATTTTACTATGATGGTCTGGCCAAGCAGCAAGAGGAAATCAAACTGACAGTCTGTGAGTTAAAATAGATGTCATTGTCTACCTCAGTAAGTTATTGAATCCTTTAAACTCTTCATTGTGATTTTATTTTAGAATCATTAGTATAATCTTTAGCTGTAACATAAGTAACTGTTTGCAGTTAAAAAATCCACTATGCTTTTGTTTTTCTAATGATTATCTTTAAGGGTCATTTGTTAATTATATTAACCCATCACTAACACGAACTCAAAGGGATCAAAAAGGAATTTGGGTGAAACAAAATGTATGTTAACCAGGGACTCACAGTTCAGTGTTGCAAGTAGGGAAACAATTATGTGTCACCTTAGCTATGAAGTTTGGCTACAGTGTACTTTGTTGTCTTGGTAATATTACGTGGTGAGGCCTCAGTCTCTTCCATGATAGGAATCTCACACAATCTTTATATGTTACATAAAAAAAGTGTTAGCACTTTAAATATTCACTATGCTTTCCTTGTTATCTGATTATCTTTAGATGTCATTTGTTAATTACAGTAATCCATCACTAACTCCATCGGTCCAAACAAGAGTTTATGTTAAACAAAATTTGTGTTAACCGGTGACTCAAAGTTTCAATTGAGAAATCAATTATGTACTGCATTCATGATGATGGTTGGCTAGTGTGCATTGTTGTCTTGGTAATACTACGTGATAAAGCCCCAGTCTCTTCTGTGATACGAATCTCGCACTACTGTCCCAAAACCAGTTTTATCCATACTTTGATCTCACTTGGTCAGATTCATGCAACTATTTGTTTGCTCATTCTTTATAAACTTTATTTGCTTCACTAAAATCTCTGGTGATGAAACTGAGTATCTTTTTTGAAACTGCTGCAGCCAACTAGCGGGACAGCTGAAATCTTTAATGTCTAAATGTTTGGCAATTTCATTTGTTTTTGATTGAATTATGGACATAATTTTTAAAATTACATTCATTACCACCTGCCATTAACTGGACACAATGAACTACTCTGCTAACACTATAATCTGTTTAACTCATTCTGTCTTCAATTGTCATATTTTGTACATGATAATGTTTTGAGTCAGATAAGGTTACAAGCAAAACTATCAAGGTCAAGGAGTTAGATTAATGCCTGCAATGAAGTTTGTTAGGATAGCTCACAAAAACGGATGCAACTGTTATTTGTATTGTTTCTTTGACTTTTCCAGCAACAATTAACCAGTCATACAAGCCAGCATCTGATGAAGATCTTGTTCCACCATTAGAACACTGCATTCGAACAAAGTATGATTATAATGATCTTGTTTGCAAATTGCATTTTTTTTTTTCTATTTTACTTTGTTAACTGATAATTTGTCATTAGTTTCAAGTTTTCTGGCAGTGTATAAATGCAGTTTCCAGGATTTGAAGTCACTTGCCGGTAGTTTAGCGGCAGATCGCTCCATGTTGATTTGACAATGGAGTAAGCACTAAAGAAAGCAGTGGCAAATTAACATTAAAATTGCCTGGTAAACGGACAAACAGCCAACAGATGCTGATGATGGTTTGTAACATCCTATAAAAGGGTTATTAACTTTTTTTTTGTATGTGTGTGAGCACAGACAAGAAAGTTTATAATAAAGCACAATTGTCAGTATTACCTATCAGCATAAGATCAAAGGTAAAGTCACCTGTATGTTACAGTGCTTTTTAAGAAAAGCAAAGAACGGTGATATTAAAACCTATGTAACATGTTATACAGGCAGCTGGAGAAAACATGAAGTGTGGCTGAATCACTTATTCTGTATTTAAAATAAAAAATAAACACTTTTGCTGCCAAATCTGTGTAACCCCAAAACATCCTGGCCAATGGTACTTGAGTGAAGTTGTGGCAGACCTAGCAAGTCAGCAATGGATTTATTATCACTGCAGAGATCTAATAGACTACAGAAATAATTCAAGCAGCATGTGAGAGCAACGTCAAATGGCTTCACAGAATATCTAATGCAGCATGACAAAAATTAAATGGCACTGCAAGGAGTTACTAGGGGATCTGGCCGACTCTGAACTATCAGTGGAAGCGAGATGGATGTACAATCAGACAATTACTTGTGCCATCAGAATTAGAACTCTTCATTTATCAGAATTAGAACTCTTCATTTGCCGATGAAGATGAGGGATGGAGCGCAAATGGGAGTGTCCCGAGTGCTATGATGTCAATTCTTAATTCAACATTGAGCATTTTTTTTTTAAACTGTTTCCATTGACTAGCAGTTTGCAATAGTAATACCATGTGGAAGAACGAGGGCATTAAGTGATTATGCATCAATACTGAGGCATCTGTCTTTTAATTCATGTTGGGAAAATGTATGCCAAGATAAGTGAAATGAGACTGAGACCAGTGATAGAACCACAGTTGGCAGGAAGGGATGGGATTTGTAAGAAACAGAGGCTGTGTAAATGCAGTCTTCACACTTAAACAGCTAGCAGAAACGAACATAGAATATGGAAAGAATTTATTTGTGGCATTTATAGACCAGGAGAAGGCATTCCACAAAGTTCATAGACAAGTATTATGGAAAGTAATGATTCGATATGGAGTAAACGAACACCTGATGAGGATTGTAAAAACGTAGTTATAATAAATCTAGGGAATGTTTAAACTATTCACACCCATGCAGAGTAAGACAGAGGAATGAGTTGAGTGAAGAATTGTCGCCGGAGCTCTAGAGCACGTGCTCTGCGCTTGATGTCATCTTCAGCGGGCAGTAAAGACAGAGTGAAGAGGAGACAGAGGGATGTGTCTTATCACCACTCCTAATTATCACTTACATCAGCGTGTAAGTAAGGATGCCAAGCCTAGGAACAAAAATATTAGTGACATCAGTGAATTTCTCTTTGGCCATGATAGAAGAAACAGCCATGAAACTGCAACATCTCAAATCCATGAATGTAGAATGTGAGACAAATAGTATGAGAATCAACACTGATTACCAGCAAGGTGGTCCATATAATCCCTTCTTCTTGAAAGCATAGAGCTCCAAGACAAACCCTGGCATGCAAATAACAAGATTTACTTGGGAGGAACAGATTTTGAGAGTGGGACCTGGTGCACTGCCATGACATAGAATATTTAAAGTCCTAAAGCCGTGATATTAACTGGTGGCCTGCGGACCAAATATGGCCCGCTGCGGCGGCCCGCAGATCACTGCCAGTTGTGTTAATGATTTTTCTATACTGGGGTTCGGTCTCTGTCCCGTGACGATCCCCATTAAAAAAATATTGACCCCTGAGTAAACTTAGTTGAAAAGCCCTGTCCGAAAGCCTCACACTTCTGACACACAGTATATGACATGGCATTATCTTAACTTTACCCAGGAATAGTTAATGAATTAGCTTACTATAATATGTAATCACACAATGGTTTTTGGTGTTTTTCAGATGGGCAGATGCTGAGATAGACTGGAATGGGCTGGAGCCAATTCTGTAGTGGTTCCCAGTGTGTATGGTAATGGTCACCAGTGGGCTGTGATAAAGTCTAGCAGGCAATGTGGTTTTGAATTTGTAGTAGACTTGATACCGAGAAGATGCATCTGTTTGAATGTATGTATGTAGAGGACACAATAAAGGGGTATCGTCTAGGAAGCAAATGCTGAAGCTGATTAGGATTCACTGGGATATAAACCAAGAATAAAAAGTAGAATTGACATATTAATTTAATAATGTTGGTTTTTAACTGCATGGAATACAGTATAAATTGCAGTAATAAAATAATGTAACAGTAATCTTCTTTTTCAGCATTCCGAGCCCTTGAGGTTCATTGCTGCAGAAATCTCTCGCCTCCACTCATCTTTCTGGTTGGCCTTCTCTTTTCAATTGGTGAAACCAAGTGTTTGTAGGTCTGTCTGGACATTATCTCTTCACTGACTTCTTGGTCGGCCTCGTGATCTACGACGCCATACAGTTTTTACCTCTGTCATCTGGCGTTCTCCCAATATGCCCCAGCCATTTCAGTCTATTAGCCCTCTTGATGCCAGTGATCAGTGGTGATTTAAACAGATTATAATTTTGTTGTTACTTCTTACTCTCCATTCCCCGCTGTCTGCAGCTTTGATAGGTCAAAAGATTCATCATAACACTCTGTTAACAGTTAATAATGGCAGCGGTTAATATATAATTTTCAGGATTTTTTTTTTTTTTTTTTTTTTTTTTAAATTTTACTGTATATTACTTTTAATACATTTTGAATGATTCAGACTGATTCGAGGAAAAAAGTAAGCTTATTGCTGGGCGAAGGGTTAATTATTCATTCCTGGGTGAAGGTGTTTCTACTTTTTCCTGATTGAAGGGATAACTACTTATTCCTGGGTGAAGGGTAACTACTTATTCCTGGGTGAAGGGGTAACTACTTATTCCTGGATGAAGGGGTAACTACTCATTCCTGGGTGAAGGAGTAACTACTTATTTCTGGACAAAGGGGTAACTACTCATTCTTGGGTGAACGGGTAACTACTCATTCCTGGGTGAAGGTGTAATTACTTATTCCTGTGTAAAGGTAAGTAGGTAAAGAAAAGTAAAGGACCCTTTTCCACACCTTTAGGTATATAGGGTTAGACCTATGTGGTCAGCATCACCCTGGCCGCCTCTACTTCCCGGGACTGCACCCGGTACCCACTTAAGGCTGGGTCGACCTGGAAGGCAATGTCATTTTTGAAGAAAAGTCCGACTCCGCCAGGGAGCGAACCCACGACCTTCCGATCTGCGGCGCATGTCTAGCCGCTCTGCCACGGTGACTTCACCTGTGTGATGGGGTAACTACTTATTCCTGGGCGAAGGGGTAGCTACTTATTCCTGGGCGATGGGGGACTAATTATTCCTGGGCGAAGAGGTAACTACTTATTACTGGGTGAAGGGGTGACTACTTATTCCTATGCAAGGGGGTATGTGTTGTCAGGTTTTTACAGTTATGCAAAACCATTTGCCTATTGACAACCTTCACACTTGAAGTTTCTTTCACCTTCTTAAATGGCCATTTAAAAACAAATTAAATTATTCAAGTTTTTTTTTTTTTAAACACTACTTCATATACTTCCTAACTAAATATATATTTAACATTTACCTATATTTATTTGCTCTATTATTATTTAAGCATTGTAAGTAAAGATCCCTTGTCACGCCTATAGGCGCAGCGGGTATATGGGAAGAGCACCCATATTTTTTCAGACCATCGGCACTAGGTGGGTAATGTGGTCAGCATTACGCCGGCCGTCTCTGCTTCCCCAGGACAGCCATCCTGGTACCCATTTTAGGCTGGGTCGACCTGCGACACCCCATACCACGATAAAAATCCACGCAATTTAAGCATAGACCATGGTTAATATAAATGTCAGTGACATGTTTCTATTTCAGTGGTTAGATATGAATTCTGTTCATATTCCGTAGTTGTGGGTGTCACCTGTATGATAGACCAAGCTAATGATGACACCTTTATTAGGAATATCAAAGTACACTTGTTTCTGCAGCTAGGCACTGTCATCTTTTGGTGGTGTTATATGTTTTTCCCAGCATGGTAACCATAGCTTTCCCTTTGTATATTGTTTCTCCTATCCTAGCTTCTTTCATCTCTATCTATGAGTGCCAATCAATACATGTAAATTTGTATATCTTTTTAATTCACTGTGATCAAGGGTTCCCCGTGTGATTTATATTTTTTATACTTTAGGAACCGCAATCATGAAAATATATCAAGCCAAATGAAAAGTAGAACTGCTCAGCCTTGCATTATCACAATTACAAATGGCATGTGAAGCTAGAAAGCCTTCATCACTACATGACACTTTAGACACTGTTTTGAGTTAACAGTGCCATTACGGTTAGTGCACTAATATATCAAGAGAGCAGATCTTGTTTAACCTATAGCAGCGGTGCATAAGGCATATATAGTACACTTGATGGGTGATGTGGTTAACATCATGCTGACAGACTTTACTTCCCAGGACATTACCTGGTACCAATTATAGGCTGGGTGGACCTGCAAGCCATGGCAGGTTAAAAACAAAATCTGCCTCAATGTGGATTTGATGAACCATTGACCTTGAGACCAGCAGGTGAGCACTTAGCCAGTACTGTGGCTTCCCTGTGTTTGTGTGAAGACCTGATATTTCAGTCCTATGGCAGTATCTAATAGCCTTTACCTTGTTAAAGATTGGTTACCTACCTAGTTGTGCTAACTTCAAATATTGTTCAGCTGGAGACAGTCACTGCTACCTTCTGCTGGATTGAGAATCAGTTGTACACACATTGTAATTGTAACTGATTTGCAGAGTATGTTGAGAAAGGTGGAGACAGGCATGCTGCATGCACAGTGGCAAGCATTGCTTTACAGGTCCTGGGTAGTTAGTGTCCCTAGGATATTTTCTCCAGGTTTTGCTGGTGTGTTATGAAATGAGCTGGCAGATAGACTGGTTGGTTCTTCATAACTTGGTGGTGAATTGATGTATGACAAGCTAGATTTTGGGAGCGATTGAACAGTGCGGAGGCACAAATGGATCATTACTGTTTGAAGAGAGTTAGTCTGCAGGTGGGGGGAGGGGGTGTGTTAACCAGAGGATCTGTTCGAAGCTCAAAACTCAAGGGAAAGGCAAGACGGTTGTACAATTAATGGTGCTATCCGAATTGGAACTCTTTGCTTGCTGCTTAGGATGGGGACAAAGCGCTTATGGAAGTGTCGTGAGTGCTATGGTGTCAATTCTTAATTCAGCATTAAAATATTGTTCATTCAACAAATGTTCTGTTATGCTATATTATATAGTCACCGATGATATGTCCTTATGTAGTAACTTATTTTGCTTCATCACCCGGTACCTACTTAAGGCTGGGTCGACCTGGGAGGCAAGGTCATTTTTGAAGAAAAATCGGACTCCGCCAGGGAGCGAACCCACGACCTTCCAATCCGCGGCGCATGTCTAGCCGCTCTGCCACGGTGACTTCACCTGTGTGATGGGGTAACTACTTATTCCTGGGCGAAGGGGTAGCTACTTATTCCTGGGCGATGGGGGGCTAATTATTCCTGGGCGAAGAGGTAACTACTTATTACTGGGTGAAGGGGTGACTACTTATTCCTATGCAAGGGGGTAGGTGTTGTCAGGTTTTTACAGTTATGCAAAACCATTTGCCTATTGACAACCTTCACACCTGAAGTTTCTTTCACCTTCTTAAGTGGCTATTTAAAAACAAATTAAATTATTCAAGTTTTTTTTTTTTTAAACACTACTTCATATGCTTTCTAACTAAATATATATTTAACATTTACCTATATTTATTTGCTCTATTATTATTTAAGCATAGTAAGTAAAGATCCCTTGTCACGCCTATAGGTTCATCGGGTATATGGGAAGGGCGCCCATATTTTTTCAGACAATCGGCACTAGGTGGGTTATGTGGTCAGCATTACGCCGGCCGTCTCTGCTTCCCCAGGACAGCCATCCTGGTACCCATTTTAGGCTGGGTCGACCTGCGACACCTCATACCACGATAAAAATCCACGCAATTTAAGCATAGACCATGGTTAATATAAATGTCAGTGACATGTTTCTATTTTAGTGGTTAGATATGAATTCTGTTCATATTCCGTAGTTGTGGGTGTCACCTGTATGATAGACCAAGCTAATGATGACACCTTTATTAGGAATGTGTTGTTGATCAAAGTACACTTGTTTCTGCAGCTAGGCACTGTCATCTTTTGGTGGTGATATATTTTTTTCCCAGCATGGTAACCATAGCTTTCCCTTTGTATATTGTTTCTCCTATCCCAGCTTCTTTCATCTCTATCTATGAGTACCAATCAATACATGTAAATTTGTATATCTTTTTAATTCACTGTGATCAAGGGTTCCCCATGTGATTTATATTTTTTATACTTTAGGAACCGCAATCATGAAAATATATCAAGCCAAATGAAAAGTAGAACTGCTCAGCCTTGCATTATCACAATTACAAATGGCATGTGAAGCTAGAAAGCCTTCATCACTACATGACACTTTAGACACTGTTTTGAGTTAACAGTGCCATTACGGTTAGTGCACTAATATATCAAGAGAGCAGATCTTGTTTAACCTATAGCAGCGGTGCATAAGGCATATATAGTACACTTGATGAATTATAGGCTGGGTTGACCTTAAAGCCATGTCAGGTTCAAAACAAAATCTGCCTCAATGTGGATTAGATGAACCATTGACCTTGAGACCAGCAGGTGAGCACCTAGCCAGTACTGTGGCTTCCCTGTGTTTGTGTGAAGACCTGATACTTCTGTCCTATGGCAGTATCTAATAGCCTTTACCTTGTTAAAGATTGGTTACTTCGTTTTGCTAACTTCAAATATTGTTCAGCTGGAAGCAGTCACTGCTACCTTCTGCTGGATTGAGAATCAGTTGTACACACATTGTAATTGTAACTGATTTGCAGAGTATGTTGAGAAAGGTGGAGACAGGCATGCTGCATGCACAGTGGCAAGCATTGCTTTACAGGTCCTGGGTAGTTAGTGTCCCTAGGATATTTTCTCGAGGTTTTGCTGGTGTGTTATGAAATGAGCTGGCAGATAGACTGGTTGGTTCTTCATAACTTGGTGGTGAATTGATGTATGACAAGCTAGATTTTGGGAGCGAGTGAACAGTGCGGAAGCACAAATAGATCATTACTGTTTGAAGAGAGTTAGTCTGCAGGTGGGGGGAGGGGGTGTGTTAACCAGAGGATCTGTTCGAAGCTCAAAACTCAAGGGAAAGGCAAGACGGTTGTACAATTAGTGATGCTATCCAAATTGGAACTCTTTGCTTGCTGCTTAGGATGGCGACAAAGCGCTTATGGAAGTGTCGTGAGTGCTATGGTGTCAATTCTTAATTCAGCATTAAAATATTGTTCATTCAACAAATGTTCTGTTATGCTATATTATATAGTCACCGATGATATGTCCTTATGTAGTAACTTATTTTGCTTCATCACTGCTGTTTGTGCTACTGACTGCCTTATTTGCTGAATAAAAACAAATATGATAAATGAATTAGATCAGAGACTTTTTGCCTGTGTTATAGACATACATCTTCACATGCTGTCTTTTCTGATGTTAGAATGAAATATTGTCTGGATGCCTCAGGGAACCTTCGTGGGTAGTGAAGGACTTTTTTAAAAATGACTTTGGCTGCCAGGCTGACCTAGCCTCAAATGGGTACCAAGTAGAGTACTGGACAGTGATCAGAGTGATGTTGACCATATCATCCACAGAGTGTCGATTGGTATTTAAATTTTAGGTCTAGCCCTTTATGCCTGAAGGCATAGAAAAGGGTCCTTTACTGGATAGCTCATACTGGATTATCACATGCTATTGTTTGATCCACACACAAAAAGAGAAAACAAATGGCCAAATATATTTTAAACAACACAAACATTTAGAGAGAAACAACAAGGGTTTTTTAAGAAACTATGAATTAAATGAGAGCTGAGATAAATAAAAAATAAATATCTCTGCTACAATAAAAGACGCAACATTCTTATAAAACAACTTGTGTGGCATATTTTGTTGTGATCTTGCGATGTACACACTAGAGAATAAAATCAACATTAAATGAAGCAAAATGTCTCTGTTTCTTGTCCTGGACTGCTGTCTGTCCATCACCTTATGCTATCTTGTGTCACTGACATAAGAATGTTATGTCTTTTAACGTGACCAAAATATTTCACTTGCATTTTTTCAAAAACTATGCTTTAATTCCGATTTTTTTTCAAAAGCTTTTATTGATCGTTTTCTTTGGCGCATCCTCATCACCAGGGTCTCAATTTTACTTCCTGTTTGCCCAATTCATTTTCCAGATTTCTGCACACTACTGTTGTAACATTTGAAAATTCTTATTTTTAATGTGTTATCTCTCAATACATTATTTTTATTCTACCGTTGAAAACATTTCTGGCCATTTGTTTGCTCTTTGTGATTTTTTTTTTCACTTCTGCAATCATCTGTTATTAGAAATCTAAGATAAGAAAAGTTTGACACTTGTTCTAGTATCTCTATTTATCGTGTTGTTATTTACATAATAACAGAGAAGGCAGAAGTGAAACAGAAATTTAAAAAAAGAACAGGAATGGCTAAAACTATCTTCAGTAAGATGTGAACATTATTACTGACAGCTAGAGAGATAAACAACACTTTAAAATTCAGAAACTTTAACAATGAAAAGGCACCCAGAAAATCGAACTGAGTCTCTGAAAATGTGGATATATAGAAGAATAGGTTATATTTCATATAAAACAAAAACAATCAAATACAGAGATTCTTGAGTGACTGAGAAGGAAAATAGAGCTACTAAAAATTTTTTAAAAAGAAGCAATATACTTTTTTGCCACATTAATAGACCTGGGTTCCCAAGTTGACCCAGCCTGTGTTGGGAAGTAAAGGTGATCAGCGTCATGTTGACCACATCATCCACAGAGTGTCAATCAGTCTATCAAATACAGACACACTGCTAGCTGGACTAGACAAATACAGGTCTGGCAGGAAGTTCCTGATGCGTCAAAGGTTTGAAAAAGGTACTTTACATTTAATCAAATGCTCAGAGTTTCTGAGAAAATGTCCTACATGCCAACAGAATGACAGAGAGAGATATAAAAGATAAGAATCTTGATGTCTGATGTAAAATTTAGCCAATATATAACTGATCAGACTTGATTCTTCTTCTTCTTCTGCGTTCATCCGAAGATGTAATTGCGTTGTGTCCGTTTACAGCATGGCTGCGATATTTGCACCTTTTCGGTCAACACATCCGACTTCTGCGGACATTTGTTGACCCGGTTAGCCTTATCAATGGACTTGATTCTAAACTGATTTTTCAACTGGAATGCACATGTTTTATGGTTATATGCCAAATAAACACAAATACAACATGATTTAATGTGTGACAAAGAAACATTAAATATGTCAAAGCAGATGTTCTTTGTCAATAACACAGAGACAGTTAAATCAAAGAAGATTTACCAAACAAAACCATAAACATAATCAGTGGTATACTCTGCTTAATTTTTATTGAAATCAGAACCTCAAACTGCCATTAAGTTACATGATGCCGCCTTAAAACATCCCTTTTTGTGAAATTATGTTGACAAACTCTGCATGTCACAGATGATGTAATGCTGTCAGATGTCAAACAGTCACGGCACATGTAATGATGACAAGGAGTTACATATGACACCTGGTCTGAAAGTGCTCTGTTACACAAAAAACATGAATAATTATCAGTTGTGCTTTGTAAAAGTAGTGGATATGATGGCAAGCAGCTGAGAATAGAAGACAGAGCACTATTTAAACTGTTCTTAAGCTGGGTTTCATGGGAATACCCTGGTGAATGTTCTACTTGGTTACTGCAAGAAGCTGCAAGTGAAATCACTTGTCTCTTCCCTGACATCTGGGACTCTTTGTGACTTTTGGCATGATCACTCTGACCGAGACCACTGGACTTGGGTATTGTTTTAACCTGGTGACATTCTTGCTGTTCTGGTGGCTTTCTGGTCACTTTAGTAGTGCTCACGTTTACCTGATCATCACTCGACGCATGTGAGGGCTGCATGCCTGGACTTTTTAATACAACTGATGATATGCCTCTGACATGTCCAGAATGTTTTCGTTTCCCTAGAAGGGATGAATTTAGGCCTGTGCCCACAGTTCGGGCAATTTTAAAAGTTGCTGTGTCATTACTGTGTTCCATAAGAAACTTATCAATTCTGCCTTTGAGAGCACCATTTGGGACAGGCCTGTTTGTGCTGGAAAACTGTACCCCTGTGAACGGATCCCTGGGTTGTCTCCCATATGTAGCTTCCACACTGAAGTAATGATCCAGGGTAGACTGGTCAACATTCTTACCACATGGTAGCAACATCGGCACTGCCATGACTTCACACGTGATAGGGTCTAGGAAATCTTCTGGAATGTCCAGTTCCTGGCATTCTTCCGCCACAGAGCTTGTGGTTGGTGTAGCTGTGCTAGCAACAGTCTGCTTATGTTTAACCTCTACCTCAGTGACTGGATGACTGATGTAAAAATGTAGTGTATTTATTAACAATGTCATCTCTGATGCTGACTGGAGTAGATGGTGACGGCACACCCCAAATGTTGATATTGCTGGCTGCTGCAGTTGATGCATTTGTGGTCCGTACAATACGTAATGTTAGATGACTTGAGGCATTGATGATTTCCTGCCTGAAGTGTCGTATTTCTGCCCTATCTTTATAAATCATAATGTCGGCCATATTGCCATCAGACAAAGCGGTGACTTTTGGATTATAAAAGCATATGCCACTGCCACTCTCTAAAACACAAATTTTTGATATAGGATAAAAGATTGGTAAAGAGTGAGAAACTGCAGGTGTTGCAGTGGTAACTTCACATCCTTCAGGCAGACTAGTTGCAGTTAGTTTCTGATAACCCTTTTTTGTTTTTGGCATCAGTTTTGTTGCAGAGTAGAGTTCTAAATGAGATGACCGTTGCTGGCCCACAGAGGGAGTGAGAGAAACATGATAAATACAAATGTTGCAGGGGAATTCAAAAGTGATATTCACAGGAGGCTTGATAAAGTGTTCTGCCAAATAGCCCTTTCTTCTCTGATGCCAGTTAGGACTGATTAAGTTAGAGCATTCATGACCATCTGTGCTGACTTTATCACTGGTAACTCTTGTGCCAACTATGCTCAATGCAAAATTGATCAACATCTCTCACCTAAGAAAAGAGAGCAGAAAATGGACAAGTAACAAAATGAATATGGTCAATATTATAAATATTAATTCCATTTTAATGTGAGCAATCAATGAAACGATAATAAACAGCTGCTATACCTAACTTGTGTTAATGACATCTTATATCATAATCTGAACACAAACACAGGGAATGGTGAGGATCAATGTTTTAAGATCAGGTATCACAATCAGGAAGACTTTCTTTCAATTGATACAGACACTAAGTGTCTAAGTGTATGTATCCCTGAACATGAACAAGTTATAATTCAGCATGAAGTTTTTTTTTTAATCAATCAAGTATTTATCTTAAGTTTACCCAGTAAAAAAAAAAAAAAAAAACAGTGTTCTGTCAATTACAGCTGGATTATGGCATATACAACACAGTGAAAGTTGCCAATATAGTAACATTACATAAAAGTACACACTTCTGTCTTTAGACTCTCAACACAACTGATGCTCAGTGCACTGAATATTGTGGCAGTAATGGACATGGAACCAAAAAAATGCTGTTTACAATGTAGCAGCACTTGATTATGTATGTGATGAATTATGGACTGGGGCTGCTCATCTTATCACAGAGACAGCTGGTGAAGCTTGAACGCATACAGAATTAATCAATGGGGGTGATTCTAGGATGTATCAGAGACACCCCAATAGTCTGTATGGGATAGATCCTTGCACTGTCAAATATTGCAGACAGGCTCAAGGTGCTGCAAGCTAGGTCAAATCTCAGGGTGGCCACTGATAAAAACCACATTCTTCATAAAGCCCTGGATAAGGCGCAAAGGTTGATTAGAGGGATGCCACAAGAGAAGACACAATTAGAGATATTCTGGAAAAACAGTGGGAGAGGAACAGTGAGGATTGGGTCAAAGTGTCAGAGCAAAAAGTAGACTTGTGGAGGTTTCTAATCACACTTGGCTGTGAGGATTGGCCACCTGGCACTGCAAAATCAGAAATTCAATAACTGATTCATAATTCTCATCCAGGTGATATGATCATCTATACAGAAGGCTCTGTGTTAAAGGGCAGAAGGTTAGTTAGTTAGTATCAACAGATTATCCTTATTGTGGGGGGGGGGGGGGGGACACCAGTTCTGTTAGCAATCTTCCCTGCTTGGGGGGTTTGTTGAGAAAGTGAACAGACAATGGCTTAGTTCAACAAAGTCTAGCATATGATGCTACATGTAGTTTAAAAATGGAGGTGGAGGCAGTCACAACAGCCTTCCGCTGGCTTGAGAACCAGCTGTACACATGTCAGGATTGTAACTGACTCACAAAGCATGTTAAGAAATGTGGAGATGGGCATGCTCTATACACAGTGGCAAGCAGAGGTTGGTTAGTTCGTTAGTATCGACAGATTATCCTTATTGCACATCGAACCATTCAGTCCAAAAGTGCTTGGATCCCCACCTTAGCATATCCTGTAGTGTTTAGTGGCTCATGACACCAGTTCTGTGTTGATTTCTTTTTCTTCTTTGGCTTCCTGCATAGCAATCTTCCCTGCCCACACTCCTCTTAACAACCTGTTCTTGCAGTCTGGTCATGGTTTCAGATTTACAGACATCACTTGGCACTTGCAAACGTCTTACTTCTCGTACAGCATTCAGAATATCAGCATGGTCCATTGCTCGTCTGCTCTCCACAGTAGTTTTATCATGTTAAGCTGATTAGCTTGCTCATTTCCTTGCATACCTGCATGCCCTGGCACAAATATGAAACTGATATGTGTCAAACTTGACCACTCTAGAGGCTTCAACCACTGTCTACGGACTCAGCTCTTCTCTATCCTCCTGAGCATACTCACTGAGTCACTGGGAAAAGGTCTGTGTCTCCAGCCATGTTATTGCTTTAGTGACTGCCATGACCTCCATAGTCAGACTAATTGTGGTTAAGGCAACAGCTCCAGAATCTTGCTTCAAAATTCTTACTCCAACCTACCCTAAAAGCCCAAGAGCTTTTTACATGGCGAATTACAGACCCACCTGTAGAGAATTCTCGAAAATCAACGCCTGCACTTCTGCATCAACAGTGGCTGGACTTACTCGTCTGCATTTTCAGTCTAGTCAGATGCAAACAGAAAAGGTTGTTCTGCACTCCTTTTATATTTGTACCCATTCCTCACCATGTTCGAAGTCCTCAAGTGAACACATCTGCTGAATAACGTCCTCGGCCTGACCCATCCCCGATTTTCCTCTATCAGCTATGATAATCCCCATATGTTTTCTTCTTCTTATACCTTCAGACGTCAATGTGAATATATTTAGAGAAATCAGCAGTCAACTTGAGATTGCTGACAGTCTGACATCCCCAAAGTCTGCCCTTAAAAGGATTGGGTGTCAGCCAAAATAATTTTCTCTATTCTGCATATGTTGGATACTTCTGCAGCAAATGTTTAGCGGCCATTTTTTACCATTCCCACAGTTACAATCATCAGTGTCTCTTATCCTTAGCTTGCTGAACAAGTGGTTCAGTTTCAGCCTATTATGTAATGTGCGGAGTCTAAAAATCACTACTTGTTCTCTTAGGTCAAGTTTGTAGTAAGCTTTTTCAAGGCTGTCTGTAGTAAAGGCCTTGTGGCAAATTTTGTGATGTCACTTCGTTAAGCAAACGCAAAATGGCCGTCACATGTATTTCATATGCGTTAGGTTTTATTTTTGTCATCACTGAGTAACATTATTAAGTGATTTTTACCTTGACTTTTGATTTACTTATAAGTGGTGTTATCTTTAAAAAGATTTAATAAGTTCATCATGTGATTCTCTTTGGATTTATTTTTAATATGTTGTGTTTTCACGGAGCATCATCTCAAAGGTAAAAAAGGAAAAGCAATACTACATTGAATGTTCTATTCTCTCTTTGTTTGCTAATATAATATACATTATCATATATCTGATATTAACATTTAATAATTTATTAAATATTACAAATTCAAAATGGGCTCCCATTTGCAAAATAGTATGAACATACTGGATGGACAAAAAGAATATTGCAAATATCCTGGGTGTACAAGAAGAATATTGTGAATATACTGGGTGGAACAAAAAATATTGGTGTGAATACACTGGATGGACATGAAGAATATTGCGAATATCCTGGGTGGACAAGAGAAATATTGTGAATATCATGGGTGTGACCTGTATATATTGCTTCGCACATGGCTCCATATTTGTTTCTAATGTGTGGGACTACCATTTAAGTATTCAGGGCAGGTTACTCTTAACATTTTCCTTTTAATATAATTCTGTGTTCCAAAACACGTGGGCAGATTGATCCGATTCATAGGTAGTGTTGAACAGTGCATCTTCAAAGTTTTCTAGTGCCATGGATACCAACATTCCAACCACAAGTACAGGCTGCAAAATGAGTCTTTCTACTACTAAAATTCAGAAGTTGTTTCAGTCTTATGTTTTAAATTCTGATAATAATAATGAAAATTTGAGATTTTTCAGAAAGTGATTCAGATGGTGAATTTACACCAACGGTAGCTGAGCGATCAGCTGTTTGGGTATCTAGCGATTCAGATGAGTTTACACAGAGAATGTTCCATTGATACCGCATTTTGGGTGTAAGAGAAAGAAAGTGCTCCAAACAAATATATACTAACATACTATGGCTAGCCTCATTGAAATCATTGCAGCTACATTCTGTATATAACTGTTCAAAGTAAATAGTGAGTGTGTAATGGCCCATTTTTCTGTCATTTTTTTCTCTGAAAGTTTGCTCAGCACTCTGAGAGAACTAAGAGCCCCTGAGTGCTAAACTGACCCAGAAACTTATAACTTTGGAATATGTTAGGGTACTAAACAGCCTATAAAGTATTATTCTTAAATTTGGATATTCTCTGCTTTTATGGCTGCAAAACCCTGGTAAGTGAAGAATTTTTTTTGGTGGGGTAAAATTTTGTTGTGAAATTAACACCTGCTGATTTCTTCTTCCCAACTAATTATAACAGTATTAAACATAAACTTATTATCATATTCAAAATGTTCATTCATTTTTCTTTATAAAAATATATACTTTTGTAGTGATTAGAAGTATATTACATTCTCTGTTGCCTTTTTTGTACACCACCCCCTCTGCCATTTTGTTTTTGTTTACCCCACCAGGACATCACAAGAGTACCACTATGTAGATGAGGTTCACCCGTGGAGATGTCCCAGAAACTAACAGTGTTCAGCCAGTAGACAATATTTATGGCCGGGCTATATTGCGGCCCCTGGCAAGAGCCAGAGTAGGGCTTCAAATAATGAAAAATTGTATCTCATAACGAGAGTGCATTTGGCTCTCCTTACAACTACGGCCACTTATTATAGCGGCCGGGGGAGTACGCCGGAGTTCAGTCCCCTGGCCGCATTGCAATTACGGAGTGGAACAGAGAGAACGAAACAAATGACGAAATTACTGTGTGTTGGCGATAGACAGTGTGAGCGATAGAGAGCGTGCAGTGCACTTCTCTCATAATAAAGTTAGGGTTAGGGGTAGGGTTAGGATTAGGGGTAGGGTTAGTGTTAGGGTAACACATCACCGGAACCACGCAAACTTATTGCTTATTAAGACATAGAGATCCGCAGGTGTCACATCCACAGCCACTAAGTCTTGCGTCGGAAGAACGCGGTCGCTAATGTGAGTCGCAGTGCGTGGTCTACCAGCTATGTCGACCTCACTTTGTTTTGTGATTCGTGCCTTGTCCATTCCATGTTATTATGATGCCCCCCCCCCCTGTGGGTTCTGGGGCCTCATTAATGGGGAAAACAGGAATAGACCCACTGCCTCCCCAAAAGCATGTCGTAAGAGTCGACTTATTGGGGAGCTTCCTTTAAAGTCATAGTGCATCTGCCGAAGATGCAAGGAACCAACAGTCTGTATTCAAGAGAATGAGATCTGTAAAACTGATGCACACGCAACCCTCAGGTTCTGGAGCAGGACTGCAGTTCAGTAGTGGACGAGCAACCAGAACTTTCCGCCAGAGTGTACAGCTGGTGAACGTACGCGAAGAAGAAGAAGATTATGATGTTGATGTGGGACAATGATGATTAATGACGATAAGATATTATCATCATGATTAAATTACTAATAGATAACTCGTCGAATTCATAATTAGAAAACGTCTGATCGAAGTACACTACCCAGTGTAAGTAACAGCTGAAACTGAAAAAAGTCGGCGAAGAAGTCCAGCAAAACGAAAACAGACATTAGTTGCTCCGACAAAATACTGGTTGCCGACAGAGGGGAGATCATCAGCTGCAATCGACTCTTCAGTGACTGAAACTACACACGTACATTTCCTTCCCTGGAGTCAACAAGGAGTCGTACTGAGTACTGTTGTTGTGCGGGAAACTTTGATAGTTTGAAGAGTTTTCATCCGTTATAAAACAGGAAAGATGCTGTAGGTGTAGGGAGAGAGACATTTCTGAGTACTCTTTGTAACCAGCTTTTGTCGCCATTACTATTGTGTGAGAAATAAATTTATGTGTTCTAAGTTGCTACACACGTAGTGACAGTACCTGATTTAATTTAACTTTCCTATTTTTACCTTTTTTTTCAATCAAAATCAAATTGTTTTTCTTTTTCATCCTTCTTATTTCATTGTTTGATTCTCTGATCATCAGTTATTACAAGATTAATGTATGATGACTCGTACTACGAGTTATATAAATATATTAATTATTATTATAAGTTGTAATAATTATTGACAGCAGTAAACCTCAAATCCTCTGACTACAAAGAAGAAACTTTTACCAGCTTGTATAGCTCCGTCCCTCTTCTCCAAACTGAAGAAAAAAGACTTTAACTCTATCAGGCCCAATAATTTTGACACACTTGGCCCACATTAATTTCCTTTACAAAAATGGCAGAGGGGTGGGTGTGCAAGAAAGGCTATAGATAATGTAATATACTTCGGCTCTCCTTTGAATCAACCCCCAAAATGGCGGCTTTAATATGATGGTGTTCGAAAAAGAGCTAAACTGGCTAATTTCTTGCCATAAAATATCCAAAAATATCAGAATGGGGCTCAGTTCTATTAAAAATATGCCACGGCTCCGTATAACGAAACAAATGCTCTAACAGGGTCTCAGCGATATGTTACTTGCACACCTGCTTCTGCGAGTGTGCCTCACCGCCGACTGTATCCCCCGCTACGCGCAGCGCGGATGAGGACTAAACTAGATGGCTGGGACTTACGAGCGACAGCTGCCGCATCTCCTGCAACTTCCTCTAATTACTTTACTCGTGAGCCCCAAGCACCTAGTTTAGACCCCCCATCCGCGTAGCAATGAGTTTAATCGCGTTTGGCCCATGCCGACAAGTCTGACATCTACTGCTGCTAAATCCTTGAATCGGAAGAACACAGTATTGCTAATCGGCTTTCATCGTCTGTAATGTCTCGAAATTGTCAACGGTCACTAATATCGTCTGCTAGTATCATCTGCAGAAACGCTCAAAATTGTCAACGGTCGGTATTTATCGTCTGCTACTACCGTGTGCAATGTTGACATTGATTGTCAAGTAATCATAGTTTTGCCGCGATTTGTTTCTTGGCAAAAAGTCCATATTTTAGATGTACGTGAACACCGTCATTCGGATATTTTTTTATATTTTATGGCCAGAATGTGACATACCGCCATTTTGAGAGTTGATTCAAAGGAGAGCCTATACTTCTAATCCCTATAAAAGTATATATATTTTTTTAAGAGAAATGAATGTACATTTTGAATCTGAAGATAAGTGTTAAAGTTAATTTTGTTATAGTTAGTAGGAAAAAAGAATTCAGCAGGTGTAAATTTCACAAGGACAACATTTCACAAACAAATTCTTCACTTACCATGGTTTTGCAGCCACAAGAGTAGTGAATATCTAAATATGAGAACAACACTTCAAAGTTTGTTCAATTTCCTAAAAAATTCCAGTTTTGATAAGATCCTGGGTCATTTTAGCACTCAGAGGGTGTAAGTTCTCACAGAGTGCTTAAAAAATATTTCAGCGAAAAAAATGGCTGAAAAGTGAACCATTACTACACACAATATTTACTATGTGCAGACTGTAGCTGCAATGTTTTTAATTTAGCTTAGCCACAGTATGGTACTGCTTGAACAGAGTTCTTTGGATGCAAATGTGGGTGACTATCACATCCTTCGCAGATGAAGTTAGTCCTCTTAGGTTTAGCAGGTGTACTACACACTTCACGTCGGTGGTCCTGCTTTACATAACCAACCAAATGCATGCCTGGTTGAAGATGCTGGACTGGGGTGCTTGATATGCGACCTCGTCTCCTGGGAACTATGGTTCCTGGTTCTGGCATTGACTCAGCAGCTGCAGTGAGTAGCTCATCAATCAGCTTGAGCTTGAAGTCTTTCAGTGGAATTTTTGTTGTTTTTCCTGGCCTCGTTTCCTTTTACAGAACATATGCATTGATACAACAAATTTCCATGATCCACTGAAAGAGCTTTTTCCACCACTTCTTGGTTTTACGAGTGTGCAGTCCATAGTACCCGAGACGTTGGTCAGCTACATCACAACCGTTCATCTTGTATGTGTCAATGACACTAGGCTTCTGCTTTCCTTTTGCATTTGTTACTTCTCCAGCTGATGCATTGGTGGAAACAAGCAACACAAGTTTTTTAGCCTTCTTATCTTTCCAGCTTACTGCCAGCATTGACCTTGTGGAAGTAGAAAAATACTCTGATGCCATATGCTGCAGTTTATCATTCCACTGTGGAAACCCAACGCGACCACGCTGTACTGTTCCGGTGTAATACTGCTTCTGTTTCAGAAGATGGTCAACGAGCACTCTTGTTGTGTAGTAGCAGTCTGCAAAAATATGGGATCCAGTTCCTAGTGGCCTTAGCAATGTGTCGAAGACCTGTATGGAGTGGCTGCTTTCATTTTCATTCATTGGATTGTACTATGTGGTACTTCTGTAATATGTCAGCAGATTGACAACGTAACTGGTTTTACTGTCTACCAAGCCAAAGCTCTTGATGTGATACTTGGAAGGCTTGGTGACATTGTATTGCATGTACTGCCATCTTCCTTTGAACCCAACAATCATTTCATCAGTGGCAATATCTTGGTAGGCAGTGAAAGCCAGTTGAAACTTTTCAAGAAGTTTGTTGACAAGGGTCTCAATTTTCAGTTTTCCATCAGCATCAGGCTCCCTCACATGAAGTATTGTTTGGAAAATGCTAAGAAATATGTTCCGACTAAAGGTCTGCGAGTAAAAACTGGTGTTAAAAACATTTTGTGTTGAGAAATAATCACGTATGCTCAGCCTCTTGCTGATTCCCATTGCCATCTGCACAGCACTGAATTTATACAATTCATAAATTCCAAGATTTCAGCTCGCAAAGACAGAATTTTTGAGAGCAGGATTGTTCTGTGTTTTCTTCAATGTGGCATACGTATTTGTTGCATCCAGCAGAGAAGTCTGTACTTCATCATCAAACAGTGCCAGAAAGCAATCAAGAGGAGTTGAGCTTTCAGACACCAATTCAGGGTTCACCCCTGGAGTTGTTTTGGGACTAAAACGAAAAGTATACAAAGTCCAGGATGAAACTCCATCCTCGACTCTTTCCCATCCTTCACCAGAATTGGTCTATTTGCTTGAAGCACTTTCCTTCTCTTACATCTTAAATACTGTACCAGGGGAACATTCTCTGTATCAGATTCATCAGAACTACTGGATTCCCTAACAGCTGATCGCTCAGCTGCCGCTGGTAAAAATTCACCATCTGAATCACTTTCCAAAAAATTTAAATTTTAATTATCATTATCAAAATTTAAAACATCTGACTGAAACAATTTCAGAGCTTCGGCCGCAGAAAGACACATTCTGCGACCTGTACTTGTGGTTGGAACATTGGTATTCATGGCACTCAAAAATAAACTGTTGAAAAAAAAATATATTCCCTGTTTTTTCTCTCAGATTATTCACGTCTGGTTTTGTCCAGGAAATTAAACTAAAAGGATTTAGACAGAGTGACTTTTCCTGTATAGTTTAATCGTACCTCCAAACATTAGAAACTAGTCAGGGGGCGTGCGCGAAGCAAAATGTAGTGGAAACACGATCGATGATGAAACCGTTGTTTGGGCCTTAAAGAGTTAAATAAAAAAAATTGCTATTATAACTATATTACTTATTTAAATCAATGCCATGCACTGCACACTGTACCGAGGAGCATTCCAAAGGACATGACTCCGAATCTCTGTCTAGACTGATGGACATTCGGGTGCAGCCTGGAGCTGCAAGAAATGAACATTTCACTAAGGGGACAAGATGTTTCATTAACCAACACAAAACAGACATTATCAGTCATTTTACAGCTGTGGAGCTTTTGAGGATGAGATCAGAGCATCTATGGATCTGTGATGATAATCCTTTCTAATCACTTATCACAGCCTATTCTGTTGTACACCCACATTTTCTCTCCATTGCCACAGTTCACTTTCTAATTGCTTGTTCATTGTCCAGTTTCTGTCATTGTGTGTGTGTTTGGGGGGGGGGGGTATATAAACAGTATATTGCATGATTCATTGCCTGCAAAATTTTTGCAGTATCTCTTCATGTGCCTACAACAGAAATTACATAAGATTACAGAGAATATTGGAAAGGCTTGATTGCCAGTACCATCTACAGACCAACCAACTAAGTGAAGTAAAAGGGGAAAAAAAGATTACTACATATATCTCAAAGTCTTTTCAGTTTTACTTTCTCAGGTTGTAGTGTTTAACCAATCAGCACAAAGAAACATCGCATACAAAGTATATTCATTTCCACTCTGTGCTGCCAGTGCCAGACATGGTAACTCACAACAAATCAGAAAAGGAAATTGGTAATCATGGAAATGAGATGTCTAAGAAGAACCACAGGAATGACATAAAGAGATAAAATCATAAATGTCATTATAAAATAATGAGTTGACACAGAACCAATTCTAAATTGCATACAAAGACAGCAAATCAAATGGTTTGCCCAAGTGGAAAGAGTGCCTTGTGATACCATACCATACAAGGCATACACCAAAAGATGAGAGGGAGAATGAGCACAAGGCACAAGAAAGACCAGGAACAAAATGGAAAGAACACCAGAGAAGCTCTAGAACAGCACAGTGTGTTTATGGCCAAGCGGCCAGAAGAGTAAGAAGCATCTCTCTTGACACCCAAAGCTGTAAAAAAGAAGTGAGAAGAAAAGTATTCAGCTCTCAATAACTTGAGACTTCTTCTATGGTCAGCAATATTAACTTATTAAATAATTATTGTTAGTGAAGTCACAGAGCAACCTCAACCAATGGATAACAGCATCATAAAGCAGCAAACTCTACATTCTATGAGGCACATACAAGAGTTTGTTCCAGATATCTGTTTACAACACAATGCTTGGAAGCATACAGGAAAAGAGATATAGTTGAATATTTACTGTGTTATCATTTAGAAATTAAAAAACAAACAAAAAAATAATGCTCCATTTTAAGGATAAAGGGCTGGAGTTAATGTTATTTTTGTTTAATGAAATGCAGTTGGTAATGGCATTTTGTGCATTTTTTATTGTGTGTTTTATTCTACAGTGTATTTTAATGTTGGCTTGATCATGCTGATGGAGCAAGAAGAGAAAGGGCCAGTTTGCAAAAGGACATCTGGCAAACGGCGCAGACATGATAATGTCTCAAAGAGAACATCATCTGCTTCGTACCTGGTATATTAATAGCATTTAGTATTATTTACAGAATAAGTACTTTAAAATTGTAACAGACAGTGAACACCTTCTGCATCATTTAGGGAAAAGCAAGAGACAGTGACTGAAAAGAGGTGACCATTGTATGCCACAGTCAGAAGTCACAATCAGAACTGTTTGTGCTACTGACAAGATAGCATATGGTAAAGAATGGGTTACAGTGCCTCCCAGCGAAACAGCTTTGCAAGAGGGATAGTTACCTTGTATCGAGTATCTCATTTGCTTATATTTCTCCCAAATTTGGTTAAATAATGTATACTTTAATTCAGTTCCGCTAATCCCTTAGACAAGGACACAAAAAAACTCTGCAGAATTATTGTGCACATCGGGCATGTTTCAAGCTCCTTATCATTTGGAAGTCACAAAAAAATAGGCTAAAAAGACATATTCAGATTAATTGTAAAATTACAAAAGATAATCACTTAAAATATATATTATCTTGTGTGATTCTGGGAGTCTAGGCTTTGTAGAATGTTGAATTAAGAATCGACATCACAGCATCTCGGGACACTCCCATAAGTGCTCAGTCCCTGTCTTCAGCAGCAAGCAAAGAGTTCAAATTCCGATGGTGCCAGTAACCATCTGATTAAATATCTGTCTCATCCTTCCCCTGAGTGTTGAGCGTCGGCCAGATCCCCTGGTAACTCCTCGCAGCGCCATTCTCCTCAGACCATAATGATCCATCTGCGCCTCCGCACTGTTCACCCGTTCTTAAAGGGCCCTCACAATATCTAACTTGTCATACATCAATTCACCACCAAGTGGTGCAGAGCCTGCTAATTTCCCAACACACCGGCATGACCTAGGGAAAATATCCAAAGGATGCTAACTACCCGAAACCTCTGAAGTGATGCTTGCCACTCTGCATAAAGCATGCCTGTTTTCACATTTCTCAACATACTCCGTGAATCAGTTACAATCACGGCATGTGTGCAAAGCTGATTCTCAAGCCAGTGGAAGGCAGCAGAGACTGCCTCCACCTCAATTCTCAAACTAGATGTGATATATGCACTAGGCGATGTCCATTCGCCTTTGCTATGAAACCCCATGCACTTCATCTGCCCCTCAACACAGAGCCATCTGTATAGATAATCACATCACTTGGGTGGGAATTGTCATGAATCATTTGTTGAACTTCTGATTCTATAGCACCATCTGGCCAGTCTCTGCACTCACGACCTTACGTGATTAGAACCCTACATAAGTCTAAAATTTGTTTGGACACCTTGACCCACTCCTCTCCTCGCTCAAAATTATCAAGCCTGCACACACATGTCCAAGTGTGTCTTCAGCTTGCGCCACCCAAGACCTTCCTCTTTTCAGTCTGTGACCCTTAGCTGTACCCAGGACTTCATGCAGGAGGTACTTTTTGTATGAACTGTAAGGGGACTCTGAAGCACTCAGAGAGATGTTCTTGTGCAATGAAAGTAAACCAAAACCAAGTATTTCCTAACGGAGCTGTCATCCTGTTGTTGAGGTTGACCAAAATAATGTATATTTCTGATACTAGCTCATAAAACCCAGTTTCAACTATTTTATAATATTCAACAGAAACAAATCACCTGTATCACTTTATGTATAATTAATGTATTGTCAGAAATCAGATAGTCCTGCTGAGGCCTTCAGATTTTATTTTGAAAGTATCAGTAATGCATTGTGATTGTTTCCTAAAGTCTAAATAATTTTTTTCTGCAGCTATCTGCCTGCCAAGTACAAGCTGAATTTGACCAGTTTAATGACAGTGATCTCCTTCTTGCTGAAGTTGACTTGGATCTGACATCACGTGCCAACATTGACAGCAACATTGCAAATCTAAATAAGAGAAAATGTTCCCAGAGCACTTACATACAGTGTAAAGTTCAAACAACAGTGGACAGTTTTGAGCAGAGCACAGCAGTCAACAACTTGCAGACGTGTTGAGAATTCAAGTAAAAAAGAAAGCTATGAATCAGCCATCGAAGATGTGTTTTCCCTCACAAATACTTCATCTGATAGTCTATTTGATGAAAGCATTCATTTGTCTGATGACAATTCTAATAATTTCATAAAGAATATTGATTGTGAAAAACAGTCTGAAGATAATATGGATGATTCTTTGTCAGAATATTTTTTCTTAAGTAGTACGCAAGATAAATCCAGGGAAAATATTGTTTGTCATACACCCACACATGATATCAAGCCAGATTTGAGCTGTAGTAAAGGTGAAACTGAAAATATAAAGTCCTCAGGATTAGATACGTCAAGAACAATAGTAGAAGTTGTCCATTCAGATTTAAATATGTCATCTAACAATAGGCATTTAGAAATAGACACCAAGGCAGTAGAAACTCCATCCACTGCTGGAAAAATATTTGTGGTGAACAGCTCTTCTATTAAGGACAAACTGAAGAAGAGGCTTTTGGGGAATGTAGGCTCTGTGACTGTTCAGAAAAATGTGGAAGAAAACGTTCGGAATGAGGCAATTTTTCAAGCACAACTTGATGCATCTCAAATAAGAAAAGAGGGCAGCAGTGTTGATATAGGGCCTTTTTACGGTCTTCCTGCTAAAGTGCAACAGTTGTTTGAGAAATACAGGGGCATCAGCAAGTTCTATGGTGAGTGTATTGAAAATCATGATCGTTGCTTTTGAATTGGCAGATATAATGTACTCATTAGCCTAATTTTATGGGGGCTCTTAACACATTACAAGAGAATAAATAAATGAATCAAGAACATTTTTCATACCAGATAGTGCATCAGGCATGTGCTAGACTCATGTGTATAGACCATTTGGCACCCAGTGGATAATGCAGTTGCATTACGCCTCCCGTCTTTACTTCTCAGGCCATGTCTTAGCTTGGCTGACCCTTTTTTTTTTTAAATCTCCCTAGTGTAGATTAAAACCCAGGACCTTCAAGTCAGTAGGCAAACATCTAACCACCCCACTGCTGTTGCTCATCACATATTGCTAACTCTGTTATTATATATGTAATTATTATATACTGTTGATTGACTCTGGCAAACCTATATGTGTTTAGTCTTCAATATAAAATATGTGTAGGTTCCAGCGTCCCATTTTTGTGTGTGGGGGGGGGGGGATAAATCAAACCCCCCGCCACAAGCATGTTGTATAAGGTGACTAATTGTGGGGGTTATTGTAGGCATCGGAGTACATCTGCCTGAGAGGCAAGGAACCAAGTCCGCATACAAATAAACCAAATCTAATCTACAAAACTTATGTGCATGCAAGATCTGGAACAAGACCAAAGTCTAGAGATGGATGAACAACCAGAATCTTTTTGGGCTGGAATTTACAGCCAGTGAATGCTAACAAGATTAAGAAATGTGTCTGTGATGTCTTTTTATCACTGGTGTTGCATCAGCACTATCTTCTCAAGTGATTTTTGTTCGCCCTCTTTCCAGTGCAACATTTCACTAAAATTTTTAGCAGTTTTGAGCATTTTGCATTGAAACAGCTGTGTTAATCTATCACTAAGGTGCCATTTGTTATTGTTTCAGTGGCATCCTTGTTTATCCACAGTTTAAACTACAGGTTATATTGTTCTAAGCAGGCACATTGACTGTGTCACTGTAGGGTACCCCTGCTTGACAGGGCTGCATTACTGTAAGGTACCCCTGCTTGACAGGGCTGCGTCACTGTAGGGTACCCCTGCTTGACAGGGCTGCGTCACTGTAGGGTACCCCTGCATGACAGGGCTGCATTACTGTATGGTACTCCTGCTTGACAGGGCTGCGTCACTGTAGGATACCCCTGCTTGACAGTGCTGCGTCACTGTAAATTATTCCTGCTTGACAGGGCTGCGTCACTGTAGGGTACCCCTTCTTGACAGGGCTGCATTACTGTAGGGTACCCCACTTGACAGGGCTGCGTCACTATAGGATACCCCTGCTTGACATGGCTGCATCATTGTAGGGTACCCCTGCTTGACAGGGCTGCATTACTGTAGGGTACCCCTGCTTGACAGGGCTGCATCATTGTAGGGTACCCCTGCTTGACAGGGCTGCGTCATTATAGGGTACCCCTTCTTGACAGGGCTGCGTCACTGTAGGGTACCCCTGCTTGACAGGGCTGCGTCACTGTAGGGTACCCCTGCATGACAGGGATTGTGTCACTGTAGGGTACCCCTGCTTGACAGGACTGCGTCACTGTAAGGTACCTCTGCTTGACATAAATATTGCTTTATTTACAAATAAGGCATTTTGAAAGATGTTATTAATATCGTACCTATTGCATGCCACAAGCATTTGTTTTGAACCTTTTAATGCGTAGACTTGGTGTAAGAACCAGTGAGAAGATACAATTTCTTGCTATATTTAATTTCTCCTATGCACTTGTTCTTCATCTTCATGTACACCAGCTGTAAGCTGTGGCAGAAAAGTTCTGGCTATTTGTCTTCTTCTGCACTTTGGTCTTGTTCCAGAACTTGAATTTAGCGTGCACATCCATTTTACCAATGTGACTTATTTGTGTGCAGTCTGTTGGTTCCTCAATTCTCAGGCAGATGCACTCCCACTTTAAAGGGTACACCCTTAATTAGTTGACTTTTACAGCATGTTTATTTGGGAGCATATCATAAAAGGATCTGCTGAATCAGACAGCTGTGCTGTAAACCATAACACATTGTACAACTTGCCCTTTTATGAGTGAATGCAGAAGAAGAAGAAGATAATATACAGAAAGGTTAAATGTAGTCCTATAGGAGATACTGTTGTTGAAATGTAAAGAGATTTCTAATTCATGACATGTTAGGTGGGGTGCCATCCATTTCATTTGCATGCAGTTCTGAAAATTGGTAACTACAGCTGGTGTACTGACTGGAAAAACTAATCTGTCTCTGTCGTGAATTTGAAACCTATCCAACTGTCTTGGTAGTACACACCTCCCACTATGCCAGTATGGTGTCAAATATAAAAAGGGAAAAAAATATTATATGCATGCATCTGGAGTGTGTATAAATAGGTAGAAAATAATACATGCTTGATTTCGTTTCATTTTTGCTAGAGCTATTTTATATGTTGTTGTTTGTTTACTTTCACCAGCTATAAACCCAAGTGGAAACACCTGGTTGGTCATCCATTTCTGGACTTTGGCTTTGTTCCAGGACCTGAGTTTTGTATGTGCATCCGTTTTACAGATCTTATTTATTTGTATGCGGACTGTTGGTTCCTTGTTTCTCAGGTAGGTGCACTTCGGCTTTAAAGGAAGCCCCAGTTAGTCGACTGTTATGACATGCTTGTTGGGGAGGCACTGGGTCTAATCTATTGACAATGGGGCCCCGGAACCCACACAGAAATCTATTTTATATATTTCTTTTGTTGAGTTCAGACCAGTATCACATCACCAGGGACATTGTTCCTCTAAGTGCACCGTCTCCATGTCTCCATAATCAACAGCTGGCCCAAAATTTCAATACCATTGTATGATAATCTGTCCAGCTTGCCCTTTTCCTGAGTGCTGATTGTCTAATGATTATTTTATTATTATTATTATTAATATTTTTATAATGTTTGTGTAACAATACAGACTGGCAGGATGAATGCCTGAAACTTGAAGCTGTTAAGGAACATAGAAATTTGATCTACACATTACCAACCAGTGGTGGCAAGACTTTAGTGGCTGAAGTGCTCATAATGAGAGAGTTGTTGTGCTATCAAAGGGATGCATTGCTAGTTTTGCCATTTGTGTCCATTGTTCAGGAGAAGGTAATTTTCTTTTTCAAAACATTTCTTTCCCCTTTTGAATGTAAAAAACAAATAATGACACACATATTGCACAGTTTATTGCCTGCCATATTTTGATGTATCTTGTTAAATGCATGACTACAGGCATTGACCTTCAGGTCGATATGGTGGATTTGCAGGTTTATTGTTCTTTGGCGTGGCAAATATTTGTTTCTGACAATAGTTAGCCATTGCATTTTCCTGCAAATGTAGGCTGGATATAGTTCCATCGCATGGCTACTGAGTTGAATACATGGTGTAATACTAGGAGTTGCAGATTTCATTTGAAATGCTTTTTGATTGTACTAAACATGATTTGTATTTCGTACTGCAGATTCAAAAAATGGTGAGTGGCCTGTTACCAGAAAACTGGTAGTGCCTTATACCAATGTTTCCTAAACTTTTTAGTCGTGAAACCTTTTTCAGTGAAAATGTGAAGAGTTTTTTGAAAAAACTCTTTTATCTTCAAATATTTCACGACGCCCCCTGTGAAGAGGTCGCAGCTCCTCAGGGCGCCGCGGCGCAGTTTGGGAATCCCTGCCTTATGTAGTTAATTGTGTGAAACTAGTCTTTTGTAACAGCGAGTTTCATTGATGGTTAACTTGCATTTTTAGTGTCCGACTGTGTTGGCAGTTCTGACAGCTGCCTTTTGCACTCAATGTTTGTGTGTTTTATTGGTTTTGCTTAGACTGCAGTCGATGTCATTTTTTTCACAAATTACGGGAATGGACATTCTGTGTGGTTTTATTTTGCACAGGAGCAGAGCAACTACAGAGTGACCCGTTTGCTGTGAAGTTGGAAATGTGATTACCTGATTACCTTACTATCGGCTTTAGAAGAACGTATCATAAAGTTTTTGTTTGTTTCTGTTTTATCTTAATCTTATTCATACTGAGTATTTTAAAATTGTTAATGTAGACAGTGAACTGAGCTTGTTAATAACACTGTCTAAATTTGAATTTATTTTGCCATTTATTTTATTTCACTTAAACTCATGGAATAACAAGTCTAGAAGTTCTCAGTTCCAGCAAAATTAACTGATATTATACATAATGTCATAAAATTAGAACTGGGAGGTGTCATCATTCCTCATGACATGAAGTTAGGATCATGCTGTGGTCTTCTTCTTCTTTACCTCCTCCTGTTACTGAATCAAATTGTTAGGGGACACGTAAGGATCTTCTCTGCTCTTTCTTCTGTGTTGTATAAGTTGATCTTGATTTCCTTAACGTTGTTTTTTGATGTTGTTGTTCCAACTTCAGCATCGTCTTCCCCTTGATAAATGTCCATTATATTTCTTTATTGTGCCCTCTGTGGCACTTGGTACCATGCATTCTCATCAGTTGACCAACCCACCTCATTTACTGCTTTCTAATAAACTGTGTGACTAGTTTCAGTCTTGGTCTTCTTATGATTTCTTCATTTTTAATTTGACCTTGTTTTGTTACTCTGACATTTCTTCTAAGACATCAGGTCTCTGTTATGACTTTGTGCTAAGTAGTTTCAGTAAGAGTACATGTTTGACACTGGTTCAGTTGACCCAAAATAGATCTTTTTAGATTTGCCTTTCCCTGGCCTTAAGAGCAAAGTGTGCAGAGCAAGCTGTGTGAAACCATGAAGGACCTGCTACTGACATGCTAGTCATAGAGGCAACCTACCTGATGGTTTGATCTGAGCTGAACATAGAGCTTGGTAGACAGAGATATACTTGTATGTTACAAAAGTGGTGTTAGTTGTCCCAGGCTATGGTTTGCTTTAAGCACATGGTGCGAGGTCAAGTACATTTAAATTCAGAGTTGAGACGGACTGTGCTGGCTGTGGTCTAATATATTAAGCTCACAGATTTAAGATATAAATTATCTCATCAAGAGGCTGTCCTCAAGCCGCAGGATCAGGTGAGCTACTTGTCTGATTTCAGCACAGTTTATCTGATTTAAATCCTCCTCTCATTCTGTTTGCCTTGGTTCCTGCTTGGACCTGAATTTTCCTGTTAATACAATGAATAGTCAACTATTGCTGTCCTGTCTTCCATCCTTCACCCTGTAATAAGTCTCGGATGCTCACTTGAGTATAACATTTGATAATTCTTGTATTGAATGTGCTGTTTATATCTTTCTACGTCAGTATTTTTTTTTTTTTAATCTTTGTTGACAATATTTTTGACCATTTCTATTTTCTGCCATTATCTGTTGTTATATATCCAAGATAGGAGCAACTTTTTACTTCATCTAAAATCTCCCTGCATACTGTGATGTTCATTGTTTGTCACTTTTCCATTGTAAATTAGCATAGTTTTCCTCTAACAATCTAATAATAGATCAGGTAACAGGTGTTAATCTAGGTGTTGTATTTACTATTCCACATGTCTTTTATCTGTAAATGTGCTTCATGTCAATAATGTTAATAAAAGTCTGCTAGCTAAAGTCAGTAATTAATTAACTGCAGCATGCTGAATTTACTTTTCAGGTAAAGACAATCTCAGAATTTGCAACTGAACTTGGCTTCCTTGTGGAGGAATATGCAGGAAGCAAAGGCAGATTTCCACCAATCAGAAGGCGGGAAAAAAAATCTTTGTACATTGCAACAATAGAAAAGGCTCATTCTCTAGTCAACAGCCTCATTGATACCAACAGGATGGAATCTTTGGGTCTTGTTGTTGTTGATGAGGTAAGATGCCATCTTGATTCTGTTAATAAGCACCCTGATGAACAGTAAAGAAACTTAGTTTCTCATAGGTCTGAGTTCCTTGAATGAGGTTATTGTTTTCTTCTAAAGCTGACCCAGCCAAAAAAATGTGCACTAGAAATTTCTCTGTGCAGAAAAGGGGTGTTACAAAAATTGTTTGGTCATACCTGGTGTTGAAGGTCAGTAACTGCCATTGGAGCACTTAGGGCAGTCGATAAATGCTTTATTCCTACATCTTTAGCAGCCAGGGCTGCATTCTAATTTTTCTCAGTATTTTGTTTTATTTTTATTTTCCTATTTCAAATATTTCTATATCCTTTTTTTTATACATATAAATATGTTGTCTTTGTAATGATGGGGTGCCGGATCACAGCTGCAGGTGATTTGGCAGCTGACTGTCTTGAGTTGGTACTGAGAGTCCACAGTGAGAAAGCAATGGCAAGCTACTGAACCTAAATTTGCCAAGAAAAACCTCAACAGTGAAAAAATGCTGGGGCTGGTTGTGCAAAGTCCAGTAAAGGATACGCAACTAACATTTTAATTATGGTGTTTTACTGCATGAACAATTTATTGAAAAACAGAAATATGACGAGTATAACAGTTTGGAAGCTGAAAAGTTATGTGCGTAGCCTGTTATATATGGCTGTGATATTAAACAGTGAGTAATGAAATAATAGAGAAACTGTCATAACCATAAGGAAAAGTCAAATTCTATATACAAGTGGTTCTCATGTACACCCATTAGAATCTCAGACTGTGTCACAGAGTTTGTGCTGAGATTCTCTGTATGTGAACTGTGTGGTGGAGTTTAGACTGAGCACTTACAGAACTATCTGTTGCAATCAGAGTTATCATTTACAAACCAGAACAATTATTAGCTTTGCATTGCACTAAGTGGGCTTATGCAAACCTTGCCATGTTTTGTTCTGTCAAACATTTACACCCCTGTCTGTCTACTCATGTGAATCTTTTTCGTTCATCATGTTTTTTTTTTTAGATGAAACACAAACTTTTACCTTGTTTTTCTAGAGCCTGCCTTTGATATTTGTGTCTTTCTGTCAACAAATCCAGCGTCTTACAGCATTTTTTTAGTTCAGTTTAACCTTCCTGCTAAGTTTCATGGGACATCACACAGCTTCATTGGTGTGTCGTTTCCTTCTAATCTGCTTGGTGTACCCCCCGTCGAGCCTATTCATGAAAGTTACATGAAGTTCACTTATCATGAGCTGCTCCTTTAGAGGCTAACAGAAGGTAGGTCATAGACCTGTGACTGATGACCTCCACAAAATGAGTGTTTTGTCACCTCACAAAGTTAGATTGTCCTCACAGTGATGAACTTCTGTGTAGTATCTCGAGAAGGTTTATAGTCTGTATATTTTTGAATTAAAACATATGTGAGTGTCACAAGATTGAGTCATGTTTTACTATTCACGATTATGTTGCAGCTTCATATGGTTGGAGAAGGAGGTTCCAGGGGTGCTACACTAGAATCTATACTCTTGAAGCTGATTTTAAAATGTGGGTAATTAAAAAGATGAACTTCACTCTTTTCCCATCTTTTGTTATTATTGACTACATAATTGACTTTCTCTGCTTGATTCAGTTTTATCTAATTTGTGATCACTGTACACTCCAATTGGTTAATATTTTTAGTTATGACCCTAACTTCACCATAGTTGTTTATAATAGGTATAATAACTTAAAATAGCAGGGGGGGGGGGGGCTTATAACCCCAGTGGCTTTTTTTTAAAGCCAAGTTAATGTCAAATTTTCCTGTAAGCATCAATGGTAGAGGTAATGGAGTCGAGGCATGAATCACCCGATCATAGTGTTTTGTAAGCACCAGAGAATGTATTCATTTCAAGTTTCACCCTCTTTGTGTTTTTTTGGTTACCCCCTTATATACATTTTTAAATATTTCGAGAGAAAAAAAAAAGATAAATAATTTATTATTATTATTGGTGACCTATAGTCATGCAGAGACTAAAAAGCATAAAACTGCAGTTCCATTAAAGATTTTACACCGCTGACATCTGTTTTCAGAACTACACTGATAAATGATACATCAAAAGTTGAAGGATCGGAATGGTGGTTTTTAAAGATTTTTTTCTAGGAACTCCTAAGACTCTTGGCCCAATTTATTTAGTGTTCGCAGCATGAAAGGGTTAATATCTTTATGTAGATATTATGTTTATCAATCTTGCAATTAATTTCTTTCCAAATGCACTATGTCATCAGCACAGTGCTGATTATTTATACATGTGTTAGCCAGTTCTTATACCTGGATTTCTCTTATACATCTCACAGTCATCATGAGTAGTGACAGTGCAATTGTTAGGCCACTGCCTGACAATTAGTTAGACTCAGTCCTCAACGGAAGGGCTATGTTATTTCTACCACTGCAGTTTTGGCGCTGCTTTGTTGGTTGTTTTTGTTTAATTGCCCTCATTGATTTATCTGATTAAGTGATTCTGGACAGTTTTGCCGCAGGTGGTCTCCCACTTGGTCACTAACAATATAGTTTTCAAAGGCCATGCAAATGTAAGTAAGTTGACTTTAGGAAGGGGTGCCATTCAGGTAAACTAATGAATCAGGTGGTATGTGGGGCACGGAATGCATGTGTGATGGCCACAAATAAAACCACTCTGCAGAAATCAATCGCTAGAGACACACACAACTTTGTTCAAAACCAATGACCAAAACAAGTTTCTGGAATTATAGGATTATGGCACAAGCAACAAAATGTTTCCAGCTAGCTGAAAAAATAAAGAGATACCAACTAGATATTTTAGAGTTAAGTGAAGTTAGGTGGCCAGCAATATATAAAAGACATAAAATATGTGACATATAATGGCACACTAGATCAATAAATGATATGAAAGTACTTTTATGTAAACATTTGAGCAATATTTTGTTTGCACAATAAAAGTAGCAAATTATTTTCATTTCATCAATATAGTCATGCCCAGGAACAAGTCACATATTATTTTTCAAAAATGTAGGTAGGTGGTTATACCCCACCAGGACATCACACAAGCGATAAACACCCGGTGGCACAAAGTGCCACCATGTGGATAAGGATCACTGTGGAGAGGACCCAAAAACGCCTTTCAGCCGTTATGGCCACATTTGTGGCCCAGCTATATTCAGGGCCACTGGCAAAAGCCAGGTTGGGGTTTCAAATAATGAAAAATTGCATCCCACAAGGGGATGCTTTGTAAACATAATTCAAAAATGTAGCAGAGGAGAAAACATATTGAATCTAGCTATATGCATGCCGCTCTTATCTTTTAATTTGAATACAAATTCAGAATACTATTAGTCATCATCATCATCATGTAGCAGGTCCTTTGCAGAACGTCGCTCTCATCACAGTCTGCCTGAAAGAAACTCGGTCTCTCGCCAGTTCTCCCGCCTCATGTACTTTCATACTCAAGGTGTCACTAATATCATGTAACCATCTTCGTGTCAGTCAGCACCTGGCCCTCCTTTCCAATCCGTCGTGGCGCTCGATGTGACCAAAATATTTCAGCTTCCGAGACGGATGCTGTTTATTAGCCAATCTTCCTTGATGTTCAGATCTTTAAAGATGTCAGCATTTCTCCTCTTCTTTGTCCAAGATATTCTGAGAATCTTTCTATAGCATTTCAGCTCAAAAGCGCCGGTGAAGGTGGGAATTTTTTTACGTGGACTTATAGTAATTTCTCCTGGTCTCTGAGTAATACGGTTGGACGCCGGTGTGTATTGTTGCGCATGTAAACTATTTCTTGGCAGTTGGAAATAAAAAAAGAGCAGCCTAACGGCGCTGCCCGGGCAAAATTTGAAGTTAAAAACTACCCAGAGTATTTTAGAATCCTCGCTGATGCTATGGAGTTTATGCACTGCCCTGAGATTCTTCGGACTTAAGCCATGATTTTCATCCTTCATCAAAACCGAAACCTAAAGTCTGATCTGTAAGACGGACGGAAAACTCAAGTTCTGGAAAAAGGCTAAAGTTGAAAAGTGAACGAACAACCAGAACATTCTGCCAGAGTTTACAGCCAGTGTTCACTGTTCACAGTAACAAGAGACTGATCTCCCAAAAAGGCTGGTTACAAGAACTGCATTTTTTAATAGACCAGTCACCACTCAATAAATGATGTGGTTAGCACTGCACAATCTACCTTTACACAAGGATGATATATTTTACAATTGTTTTGGGAGTAAAGTCACGTTCCTTTTCTTTCTTCCCACAGCTGAGGCCCAGATTGTAGGAATGAGCGCTACTTTAAATAATATCAAAGATCTTCAGACGTTTTTGCATGCTGAGCATTTCACAAATGACTTCCGTCCTGTAAGTATCAGTGTCAGATAAAAGTTAAATAGGTTACTGTATTCATTTTATTCACTTTCATAATCTGTTAACCATTGTGTAAGTAAAGTAAAGGTCCCTTTTCCACATCTTTAGGCGAATGGGGAATATACGGCTAAACCTATATTTTTATAGACAAATTGGCACTTGGTGGGGGGGGGGGGGTGTGGTCAGCATCACCTGGTCGCTTTTACTTCCCAGGACTACACCTGGCACCCACAAAAGGCTTGGTCGACCTGGGAGTCAAAGTTATTTTTTTGTAAAGTCCGGCTCCGTCAGGACGCAAACCCACAGCCTTCTGATCCGCAGGTGGGTGTTTAGCCGCCAACGTCACGGCGACTCCATGACCATTGTGTAGATAAACTAAATCAGTGTTGGTTATACAGTGGACTTCACTTTAAAAATATGATGTCAGAATTGACTGTTTCAATTTTTTTCATTATTAATGACAGAACCAAAAGCTATTACACTCAGCATACATTCAGTTTGTTTTTTCCTTGAAGATTATAAAAATGTATGTTTATTGTCCCTGATTGCATTCACTTTTGTAGACTTTCTGGCTATCCTCCAAGGAGCGGTCATAAATTATCGAGGCGGAAAATATACCCTAACAGGGCCTCAGTCACGTGTCTATTGCGCATTTCCGAGGACTATAACGCCACCTGCCGAATTGCGAACCTCCGGCAACTTCCGCCACCACCGAGAGTGTCCCCCACGCCGCTTACGCGGCGTGGATTGGGGCTAAACTAGATGGCTGGGACTCACGAGCAAATAAAATGAAGGAAGCTGCAGGAGATGCAGTAGCTGCTGCTCGTGAGTCCTAGCCATCTAGTTGAGCGCCAATCCAATCCGCTCACGCAGCGTATATCACTCCAGTGGTAAACATCTCTAGCTATCACCACACTAATATGGCTACCTTATTTTACAAACTTACAAATTGTATTAGCTTACATCATTTTAATTTTTAACCTTTCCACCCAGATAGTATTACCTTCAAACCCAAAACTTCGCCAACTAGGGCTTTATCTATTCATGTATGCTGTTTGTTGTTGATGTTATATGTTATTGATGTGTCAATTAGGTGACATTAAAGGAGTACATCAAAGTCGAGGACAATATCTTTAAAGTCAATCGTCAAATGCATGAGGAGGAACCGCTGGAACATGATAGGATTGTAACTTTTCCGGTAAGTATGTTACATACACCTTAATGGATTTTCTTTTTCTTTTTTGTTTTGTTTATAAATATTCACTTTTGCCTCATTTTGCATCCCATTTCAATCTCTTTATCAATATCTCTATATATTTGTTCATTCCACCCAAAGGCCATCATAATAGTTTCTTTTTTTTTTTTTCTACACTTTTATCCAATGTTCAGGGTTACCTTTCCAAAATATTTAATGGATGTGCCATATGATTATACCTCTGTCCCCAAGACTTCTCAAAGACATGTTGTTTGGCTACAAATCAGAATCCCCTCGCCCCCACCCCCCCTTTTTTTTTTTTTCCATGCCAGCAGCACAGCATATCACACCAGACTCATATTTCTTACAGGCAAATAGGCACTCAGCGATTGATTGATGTGGCTAACATCATGTCGGAAATCAGACCCACAAAAGCTGTATTGAAAATATTATTCTGTTGAGTTTGCAGCTCAGCATAAGACAAACTCTTCTAAATATCCACAAATAAACAGCTGTGAGATGATATCCCTGTTAAAAGTCGCCACTTACATTAACAAAGACCACATGATAAATGATACACTCAGATGATGGAAACAGTGTCTAGTGCCAGAACACTGACAAGTATAATGTTTAGGCATCTCATCAGAATGCAATAACATTAGTTGCCATCACAGACACTACATTAAAGAATGCCCAGTGTGCAGTGATATTGCTTGCAATAAGATACTATCCAAGAAAAACTGATACGAAAGCAAGAGAGTGCCCAAGAAGATGGATTGACAACATTGAGGGCGTTCATTGTTTATTCTCAGGAAATTACAATAACCATTGCCACCCATTGAGCCATGTATCTCTCAAGTGATTCGTCTCCATGATGCTCACCAGCAACAGTGAAAGATGATAAAATATCTAAGACATTATTGAAGAAATGTTGATCTACAAATGTGAACTTCAGTCAGTAATAAGAATTAGAAATAAAAATTTCATTTAAACATTCAAACGAAGCTAATGTCTCTGTCACTCCATCCCTCTGTCTGTCTGTCTGTCTGTTTCTTTCTCTCAGACTCTGTCATAGTATCTGCACCACACACCAGGTGGGTTCTGCCCCCGTCATAATATTCTTGGGTGGGTGTGGGGGATAAAGATTAGACCCACTGCCTCCCTAAAAAGCATGTGGCATAAGGTGGCTAATTAGGGGAGTTTCCTTCAAAGTTGGAGTGCATCTGCCTGAGAGGCAAGAAACCAACAGTCTGCATTATTTTTAAAGAGCCAGATCTGTAAAAATGATTTGGACACAAAACTCCTGTTCTAGAACAAAACTAAAGTCCAGAAGTGGATAAACAACTGAAACTTTCCCGCAGAGTTTACAGCCAGTGAAGGATAAGAATAAGAAGTATTTGATCTCACCCCCATCCCCACAACCTTTTTATTTTATCTCTTTATCTCTTCTCCCCCCCCCCCCCATATCTTTCTCTCTCTCTCTCTCTCGCTCTGTCTCTTCCTCTGTTCTCTGTATATCATCCTGTTATTTACACCCCCCACCCTCCTCACCCCAAATCTATGAACTCATGATCACAAAAAAGAGGACTAATAATCTTGTTTGGTCACATACTCCATAAGTAAAAAAAATCAAAATAGTAAATGCAGTTCATCTGCAAACTTTTCAGACACATTCTAGAATATTCTGTCAGTATAAAAACCACTACATATTTGTACACATTATTTAGTTACCAATACAGCAATTGTTTAAATTTTAAAAAAAAGTGCAGTATAGGTATAGTATAACATAAAGCTATCTGGGTATAGTTATATACAGTATAACATAAAGCTATCTGGGTATAGTTATATACAGTATAATATAAAGCTATCTGGGTATAGTTATATACAGTATAACATAAAGCTATCTGGGTATAGTTATATACAGTATAAATAAAGCTATCTGGGTATAGTTATATACAGTATAACATAAAGCTATCTGGGTATAGTTATATACAGTATAACATAAAGCTATCTGGGTATAGTTATATACAGTATAACATAAAGCTATCTGGGTCTGGGTATACAGTATAACATAAAACAGTTATAAACAGTATAACATAAAGCTATCTGGGTATAGTTATATACAGTATAACATAAAGCTATCTGGGTATAGTAATAAACAGTATAACATAAAGCTATCTGGGTATAGTTATCTACAGTCTAACATAAAGCTATCTGGGTATAGTTATATACAGTCTAACATAAAGCTATCTGGGTATAGTTATTATATACAGTATAACATAAAGCTATCTGGGTATAGTTATCTACAGTCTAACATAAAGCTATCTGGCTTGACAGTACTCCTCGGAACTGCTGAAGCAGGATCCTGATCATCTGCTGGGCCTTGTGATGGAGATCCTTCCGGAAAACTCTTGTTTGATGTTTTGTGCAACAAAGAAACACTGTGAGAATGTTGCCTTGATGCTGAGCAAACTTATTAACAAATCTCACAGGTAATGTAGCATCTGTCTTTTTTTTTTATATAAATATAACTATGATTAAGATAATACATATTTGTGATGATATTTCTGGTCTTAGACAATACATGATGTATGATCATTTCTGTCCCTACTTTGTGCTCTCAAATCTTTCAGTCTGTTTGGTCACAACTTTAAAGAGGCAAGAATACTCCTAAAACATTAATAAGTGAACTAAAGAAATATATTGTGCGAGTCACCTAGATGGTGACAGCATAATTGGACAGCAGAGGTGTTCAGATTTAGAATGGGTCATTTAAATTTGGAGCACCCCTTCAGTGTATGAGCCTCACTGACTTTAACATGTGAAGCACCAAAGCAAACTCCAGAGCATCTTATGATTTCCAGATTTTGCTAGTCATTAAGAGGAAATCTGATCCATTAGCACAGCCGTTCAGAACAATGGCATTACTGAAGACTTAGAGCGGCTGCCATATTTATGACCCAGGCCTGGTCAGACACATAGCAAATGTTCAAGAAGGTCACAGCAACATAAAGAAATGTTACTTGATAACATTGTTGGTAAGTCACGGGACTACGGTGAGCTCCAGGTGGCCACAACACACATGATGTGTCAAAAGAAACTATTCACATTACAGTTGAATTTATTCAGTTTTGTGCTTCATTTTATGTTGATGTAACTCTGTAGTAACGCACCTGACGAGATACAGCGAAATATGCCTGGCAATAAATTGTGCAATGTATTGTTTGTGTCCGCATTATTTAAATGTTATTTCCCCTGGTGGCCACTTTTGCTGTGTTAAGCTTCTCTGAAAGTATACCGCTCGTGTTTTTTCACAGTAATCTGACTCCCTTGAAATCTGCTTTGAAATAATCTTTGACGACAAAAGTTCATCATCACTCCCTAGTTTTAAAGAAAATCCACTGCACATTACATTAAAAATGGAGTGCTAATCATTAATGACAACACAGATATTAAAAGAAGAAGGAGAGATAATTTCCAGACAGACCTGCAAACACTTAACTGAAAAAGAATGAGGCGGATGATGTCTGCAGCAGTGAACCTCACGGGCTCAGAATGCTGAAGAAGTAGAAGGGCCTTTTTTTTCTATGCCTTTAAGTGCAATGGGGCATAAAAACTTCAACCCCATTATTTATATCTTTAGATAGGACAAGGGAGATATTCTAAAGACCACATATGAATGACTTTTGGCAGGACACGAAATTAGATGAAATAACATGGGCAAGAATGTGTGAACGAGGAATTAAGTATGCATCTGGCAAGGAGGGACGTATGAGAAGAAGAGATCAGCGTGTGTATTATCAGTGTGCTACGGGAACAGTCAGCATCTACACCTTACAATATTTGCTGCGGGAGGCGGAGCATCTATGGGTATGCCTGGTGTGCTGTGATGTCGATTCTTAAATCAGTAATCAGTAATTATTCTGAACTTATCTTTTACTTCCCAGAACAGTCTGTTGTACCCACTTAGTTTGGATTAACCTGAGAGCCCAGCTCAGTTTTTCAATAAATCCACACTTTGTTGAGGTTTCGATAATGATCTATTAACTTATTGCAAGGGGGAAATGCTAGAACAGTATAATGATCATCTTGTTTTAATATTAATGTAGTTGTATCTTGTAGCCATTTGTGTATTTGTATTCATTACAGACACTTAGCATCGATCAAGGAAGACAAGAAAAAGCAGTTGCTGGCCGAGCTGTCCCAGGATGGTGAGGGAAACATGTGTCCAGTCCTCAAATACACCATTCAGTTTGGAATAGCCTACCATCACAGTGGCTTGACAGCAGATGAGCGTCGCCTCATTGAAGATGCTTACTCTGATGGGATTTTGTGTCTGCTGGCTTGCACATCCACATTAGCAGCTGGTGTCAACTTACCAGCTAAAAGGTGAAACAAGTGCATCTTTGGAATAAAGTACAAAAAGAGTAAAAGGCCTCAAATTCTTGCCTTCAGATGTTTTTAGTACAGAGTACTGACCCAACATTGTTATAGACTACTTACTATATATATATATATTTCTTAAAGCCACCACTTTCAAACATGAGTTTGTAAAACTCAGAGGAGTATCTCATATGTGTTTTGACACTTTTAGTTTATTAGTTTCTACAGTGATAATTATAATAGATATTTTTAAAAATAATAATAATTTTGTTGTGGAAAATATCTCTTTGCTAGCCTCATTATCTTCTTTTGACTATGTATGTATGTGATACTTTTATATTAGTGACTTTGGGGTCAGAAAATGTAGAATTTATGACTGGATGTGAGTTTGTGTGTGTATATATATATATAAATATATATATATATTTTTTTTTTCAATTGCAGAGTGATATTACGGAGTCCATATGTTGGTATGAGCTTTATCAAATACAGCCAGTACAAGCAGATGACAGGGAGAGCTGGCAGGGCCGGCATTGACACATCTGGAGAAAGTATTCTGATAATGAAAGCTCAAGATAAAGCCAAAGTTAGAGGCTTTTTTGTCTTACATGACTCTTTAATTAGAATAAAAAAACATCAAGAAAAACTAACATTACTATGAACATGTACACAGTGTTGAACATTACTATTAACATGTACACAGTGTTGTACGTGGGAATTGTTTTGAATAGGCATTAATGGACTATAAGTATGGTAAAGTAGAAGACTAGTTTCATGCTAATAGCACATCAGTCACTGCTTCATAATCAAGCATGATGATGTGACCACATCTGCTAGAGAAGGATTCAAGTACCTCATAGATTTAAAAAAGTAATTTATTTTATTAAGTTTCTTTATGCCTCATTAGGTTGTGAGCATTTTTCTCTGCAAACCTCTTTCCTATGAGCACTACTATCTTCTTCTTTTCTCTAATCCTGGAATGCCTTGCAGCATCAGGGCCTACTGTCCCTTTCATTCTAGTCTGTTTGTGAGATCTCATCATTTTCTACGAGCACTAAATAATTCATTGTCTGTTTGCTGGACCAGTCACAGTGTTTTCAAACTTCCTTGAAGATCAGACTTGAACTAGACTATCACATTCAGACTAGCTTAACACATCTTTTACTCTAGGGTGCTCGAAACTGACCCCGGTTAGATGCTGGCTGAAAAATAAACAACATCTTGCCTGGAAGACATACTAGCACTTCTATCATACTGTACAAACTACTGTCTACAGTAAGATCACCACATTGTAATGCCAGATGGGACATCAGTAAAAGTTACATTCTTTTAACCCACTCTGGATCTATATCTAAACACTATTATCATACCGCACAAACAGTTTCTTGTATGGGAAATTTACCTGCTGGGGAAACCTTTGTCCGCTTGACTTATGCAAAATGTTGTGTGCGTATTCTCTCTTCTGCTTCTGCCTCTGTCCAGTTTACTTTCAGCGTCTGCTGTTTTTCTTTCTGAGTTACTCCAAGCATTTGTAATTTATTAATGCTTGTCAATTAGATTCCTGGGTCAGTGATTGTAAGTTAGTCCTTGTTTAGTTTCCACTTATTTACCCATAATAGTTGTAATAAATATTCAAGTCTAAATCATAAGCATGTACCATTGAAACTTCTGACTCGCTAGTTCTTCTTACATATGAAATGGCATTTGTTGTAAATGACTATTATTGGCTCACCTTTAGGTAGTTCAGCCAGTTTATCAAATTTCCTGTATCAGCAATTCACTATTTCCTTAAGCAAGTCTATCAGCCTCTAATTTCTGCCACTGCCCACAAGCACCCGATTGGCCATTTACTGGAAACCTTGTCATCTGTATTAAACATGTCAGATTACTTGATGTGTGTCGCCAAGCAAAGAAAAACTGATGGCTAATCCATCCCTTTCACACAGAGGGGTTATCTAACAAAAGTTGATTTCTCACTAAAGTATTGGCTACCTACCTAACCCCAAGTTTAAAAGAACTGGAAAAATCAAGCCACATATGTCATATGTTAAATTTATATTTTTATGTGTGTATTTTTTTTGGGAAACAGTTCTTTTGAGACAATATGAACAACCACATTATTATATTAGAAAACAATATTAGGCTAACACAATATAGGTAAACCTGTAGAAAGTAGAAGATACACAAAGATCTTTAATTTTTTATAAAAACATATATTTCATGGAATACTAATAAACCTATGCTTGGTTTCAGGGAGTTGAATAAAATGCCAACCTGTTTCATTGGCTTTAAATTGACTTTATTAATGAATTCAGCATGGTGGAATATGTGTTAATTTAAGTACCTTGTTCATTCTGTCAAGGTGAAAGACCTGCTAGCAGGACCAAAGGACCTCTGTCACAGTAGTCTTGCTTATGATGGCATGAAAGGCATAAAATCACTGTTACTCTCTGCAGTCGGGCTGAAGGTATGTTATCTGTAAATAATGCTCAGATTATTAAAAATTGTTGTATTCTTAGATTCTTCTGTTTGTTGTTTTTAAGTGATAAATAAAAAAGAAACTAAAGAACTACCATTTTATGATTATGTGAAACAAAATGGAGTGGAAACATAGAGACCAATTAAACTCATTAACTACAAACATTTATTTCATTAACTGGTGACTGAGCAGAGTACGGGGAACTGAGAGTAACAGAATAACTAATGTGGAGAGAACTAAACAAATTCCTGTCAGTCAGAATGTGAGGAAAAGATGGCATTGGATTGAGAACATGTAATAAAGAGAGTTTCTCTGCACTGGGAGCCACATGTTCAAAAAGATAAAGGCAGACTACAGAATACATTAAGAAATTAATAAAGTTTGAGGTGAAAAAGATGGGATGAGTTTCAAGTATTAATTGAACAAACAACAACAGCTGAGCATGAACTGGTTGGGGCCTCAGCTTCGTCTGAGGATGAAGGGCAGAAGAAGGAAGGCAAGCAGAATATTGTCATTTAAGCAGACAGTGAATGTATAATGGCTCTCATAAGGAATCATCATTTGCAGTTTGTTTTTATTTTAGGCTTCCTTCCATTGTTGTATGTTAATTTAGAAACAGACGATTGCATCATGTTTACTAACAACTGATGTTTAATGTTTTTGGAGTTCCAGGAAAAGCAGTAAAAAAATCTAAGCTTATAAGTAGCAGTTGCAGTAATTTTATGGTTCGTGCTGTGTGGTGTTGATAATCATTTCTGTCTGCAGCCTTCTGTCTTATGTGCTGTCGGTCATTTCTGACACCAGTCTTTGTCCATGCCTCGATGGCAAACTCTCCATCATTTTCTCTGTTTGTCTACCTATGCCCACCCTCCTCTCCAACCTCTCATTGTCATAGCAAGCTCCAAATCGCCCTTCTCACGATGTGGCAAAGGAATGTGGATTTTATGCTTTTGGTGCAGGTAATCAGTTTTCCTTGTGGGTTGTTCTTTCAAGACAACTTCAGTAAACTTTGTATCTGTCTGGGATGTTCTTATTATGCTTATATAAAATCAGATCTGCAGCTTCCCCATAATTTTTCACTGTTCAGCTGACTGTCCATAATTCAGTTCAGTATTGCTGTTCACCTTAATTGACAAAGGTAGATTTTAGCCCAGTCGTTATCCTGTCAAATGCTCAAGTAAATACTAATTTATATCATGCAACAGTTTCTTCAGGCATATTTTCCCCCCTTCAGAATTAACGTGCTTCGTTTTCACTGACAGATAGTAACGTCAACGAAGTCTGCGTTTGATTTAATGAACCAATCATTGCTGCACATTCAAGCTTCAGCACTAGACGTTGATGTGACCACAGCTACAAGAGAATCACTCCAGTACCTCATCGATCAAGAATTGGTTGTTTGCAAAAGCAGAAATCCATGTGATGAATCTGATGCTCAAGATAGTTTGTGTGTTTCTTCACTGGGACAAGCGACATTTAAAGGTTTGTTACAGTTGTTGAATGGAGGAATGTCAGCTCTAAAAGTGTATGACAAATATGTTTACTTTTGATAACTTTAAAGATTGTTTATTGTTGTTGGCCTTTTTCTGTCTTTTCTAGACAAAAATATTATATTTGGCTATAAGTAGGCATAGGTATCACAGCCCATATTGACGGTGAGTGGAACTAGTAAGATCAGGTGACATTTAGAAAAGTCTTCAACAGTGAATGCATGGGATTTGTTATTGATGCATGTTTACATGTGCCTTCTGAAATGCCTGCTTTCACCTTATCTGCCATCAGTTGTTCCTAAATCCATCTCAATGCTTGCTTACATTTTTTGTATTGGTGTAGTGGCTGAATTTAATATTTTATGCACATCTGTAGTTCACCATAGACTGTGTGCTTATAGAATGTGTGATAATATATTTATGGATTGGAGAGAAAATCACATGTAAGTGTACTAAGAGTGTGCATATATTGTGAGACAACATACAGATGGTTGTGAGATAACATACAGGTGGTTGTGAGACAACATACAGATGGTTGTGAGACAACATACAGATGGTTGTGAGACAACATATAGATGGTTGTGAGACAACATATAGATGGTTGTGAGACAACATACAGATGTTTGTGAGACAACATACAGGTGGTTGTGAGATAACATACAGATGGTTGTGAGACAACATACAGATGGTTGTGAGACAACATACAGGTGGTTGCGAGACAACATACAGGTGGTTGTGAGACAACATACAGGTGGTTGTGAGACAACATACAGATGATTGTGAGACAATATACAGGTGGTTGTGAGACAACATACATGTAGTTGTGAAACAACATACAGATGGTTGTGAGACAACTTACAGGTGGTTGTGAGACAACATACAGGTGGTTGTGATACGACATACAGATGGTTGTGAGACAACATACAGGTAGTTGTGAGACAACATACAGGTGGTTGTGAGACAACATACAGGTGGTTGTGAGACAACATACAGGTGGTTGTGAGACAACATACCGATGGTTGTGGGACAACTTACAGGTGGTTGTGAGACAACATACAGATGGTTGTGAGACAACATACAGATGGTTGTGAGACAACATACAGATGGTTGTGAGACAACATACATATGGTTGTGAGACAACATACAGGTGGTTGTGAGACAACATACAAATGTTTGTGAGGCAACATACAGGTGGTTGTGAGACAACATATAGAGGGTTGTGAGACAACATACATGTGGTTGTGAGAACAAACATACATCTGATTTCTTCGCATTCCTTAAATTCATCCTGGTTAATGAGAGTGTCAACATACAGGTGAATTGTGCTTCGTTTTCAATAAAAGTAATGGGTGGAACCACTCATTGCTGCACATTTCACAGCTTAGACAACATACCAGTGGTTGTGAGTAACATACCAGTGATTGTTGTGGACACAATAGTCATTCCACTTAATTAGCAATTTGCAAAGCATTGCACGGATACTTGTCATCCGAACCATCTTCTGATATCAGATGGCAAGACAACTAGTAGCCTTACAATGGAAACTATGGCTGTAACAAGGGCATTAGCTTGGCTTGGTACTCAAAAGTTCACACACATATGCATTCTTAGTGATTCGATTAATATGGTTAAAAAAAATCCAAGCTGGATTTATCAGGCAAGAATGGATTGTAACACTAAGCACTTTACGAATATCTGCTCTTAACCTTCATTTTTGTGCCATTTTAATCATGCGGGGTTCAACTGTGGAACGAGCGTGAAGTACTATCTTGGCTGACACTGCTATGGCTGGTCCAATACTAGACAGAAGTGATGTTAGACATCATGCCATGCTCTGCACTTACAGTACCGAGGAACACGCCAAAGAGACTACATGTTGTCCATATTCCTGTCTAGTTAGACTGAATGGACATAGGGATGTTGTGGACACAATAGAGCTGCATTACACAGAAATTCGAACACTTCTGATAACAGATGGGGACTAACTAGTTGCCTTCAATGGAAACCATGGCACACAACAGGCGTTCATCAGTCAAAAGTTCACACACTTATGGAGCTTTTGAGGAGGAGATCGGAGTATCCAAGCTGGTCTCTCAGCAAGAGTGCTGTGTTGACTAATCACTTCACGAATCACTGCCCTAGATTTGTCCATTGTAGGATTACTCTGCCTCTGTTTCACAACAAAGAAAAGACAAATATTCTTCATACATTCATTACATAATAACATTACATATATAATAACACCTGTAGTGGTCTCCAAAGGACAGTTTCCTATCCCTGTCTAGACTTTACATGGGGGTGCAGCTTGGAGCTGCAAGCAGTGAACATTTCACTAAGGGGACAAGACATTTCATTAACCAGCACAGATCAGGCGTCATCAGTCGTTTTACACTTGTGGAGCTTTTGAGTTGGAGATGGAAGCACATGGATCTGTCCCGAGTGCTGTGTTGATAATCCTTTATAATCACTGAGATTTGTCCATCGTAGGATTACTCTGCATCTGTTTCACAACAAAGAAAAGACAAACACATTCAATTGTTGTAGTGTTTGAGACATGTGTTGGTCTTGAATGTGTTTAGGTGTTTTTGTTTAAGGTTATCTCTTCTATTCATGTTTAAAACTTTAGGACAATTGTGTGCACAGGTGCGGTTGACCAGGATTTCATCACTGAGCTATACAGGGATTTGCAGACAGCCATCAGGTCGCTTAATGTAGTGTCACACTTGCACCTTCTGTACCTGGTGACACCATATGATGTTGCCGTGAATATTGACTGGAATATTTATCTTAATCAAGTAAGTGTTGGATTTTGGCTGTCTACTTTTATCCTTCATGTAGTCCTTACCGTGTGACATTGTTCGTCTTGTCTGTCCATAGCCTTTTTTTTTTAAATACTGTTACTCATTTCCGAAAGAAATGTTCTTTCATGCCATGATGAAAAACTCTTCGATATCATCTCTCTTGGTCTGCTTCCTCTTTAACCATTTAACTTTCCTGGTGTCACGATGTACCTCAGCTTTCTCCTTCTTATAATATGACCACACATATAGACTTTCTGATGTGGCTAATCGGTTCTTTGAGTTAAATTGTTTCCAGACATCTTTGTTATGTTTTTATCTGTCGATGGTCTTCTCATCATTCTTAAAAACCACATTTCTGCAGATTTCATATAATTTTGTCACTAATAAATTTACTTTCCATGATTCACATCCGTTTATCAGGGTTGGCTGTGTAAAGTTCTTTAGAACTCTTTTACACCTTAGTTTAAAGGTAAAGTCGGGAGATGTGAACCAGCGTCATTGCACATGGTTATAAACCATTAGTGCTCTGCCACCAGTACGGACAGCTGATAAGAATTGTCTGCCTGTGTCGCTGTTTGCACGTAACTCTGTAGCTACAGCGACGTTCACCCAGCCTCTAGAAATAGGTACCAGAGTGTTAACTCTGATACCCATTTCCTAGAGGCTGGGTGAACCCCGGGAACACGCCCGGTTTCGAACACGGACCGTCGGCTGCAGCGAGTCACAGCTAGATTTGAATTCGGAACAGCAAATTGATCATCACAGTCTGGTGAGAGGATGCAGCGAGGAGTAATGATCAGCTCTGGCCAATACTCCACGCTCAGAGGAAAGGCAAGACAGATATATAATCAGAGTGCTACTGGCCTCTTTGACTGGCTGCTGAAGATGGGGATGGAGGGCTTATGGAAATGATCAGAGTGTTGTGATGTCACTTCTTGAATCAAATCAAAATCAATACTCCAGGTTGTCTGCACCTGTGATGCCAAATAAAAAGTCTTACTCATGTTGATTTGTCAACCTCTGTGACAGTCTGTTATATAATATATGTTTTTGTTTTCTCTGTGCATCCTCCACCATTGGTATGATATCATTAGATAAGGAACTTTGATTTTTGCATACTCCTGTGTGACCTAAGGTCTCAAAAAAGATGAAGTACCCATACAATTTAACCATCTGTGCCATCTGAGAAAGACCTGAGAATCAGGCGAGTGGTAAAGTCATTGTATGGAATGTCAGATAACTACTGACGTTAATTTAAAACCCACATAGTGACTAGATCCGTTAAAGACCCTAGACCCTTAAAATTTTTTTTTTAAAGCTGAGATAGATCACTTTTAAAGTAAAAGTAAGTAAAGGACCCTCTTACACGCCTTTAGGCATATTGGGTATATAGGGCTAGACCTATATTTTGTAGAGCAAACGGCACTAGGGAGGGGTAATGTGGTCAGCATCACGCTGGCCACCTTTACCTCCCAGGACTGTATGTGGTACCTACTCAAGGCTGGGTCAACCACAGAGAGAAGGTTATTTTTGGAAGACAAAAGTCCTTGCCCTGTCAGGACCCGAACCCACAACCTTGTGATCTGCAGGCGAGTGTCTAGCTACTAGACCATGGCGGCTCCCGAGAGATGACTATAAACATGAGTAAATTACATACTACTTAGAGCAATACTACAGGGCTCATTGTGCGGGAGGTGGGGGGGGGAGAACTGTGTAGACCACTAAAGACCTGTACCACAGTGTAGATGGCTGCATTAGTTTAAATATGGAAACATCAAGTCTGGCACTTTAAAATTAACGGAAGCAAACAGAGTGGTCAATCGAACACAGTGGTCCAACACACAGGGGTTCATGTTTCAGTTCATATGATTATTTCATAGCTTATCATCTGTAACTGATAGGGAATCCATACACCAAAAGATTAATTCGGGAAAGGGGGGGGGGGGGTACAGATTCTGGAAGACATTCAAGATTGAAAGGAAAACATAGGTGGACTTTAATCAGGTTGTAACTGGTACTATTAGCATGTCAACTCTTCTTTGGTTACTGAAGAAGGGGATGGAGCACATATGGGAAGGTTACGAGTGCAGGGATATTAATTCTTGATTCATTCATCTGTAAATGTACTATGTGAGTGTCACTTTCCTCCATTATTAGGAATAATCAGAACTAATTATAGATTATTTTGCTATGCAGACAAGATATTTTTTTTTTTAAATTATAAACAGTATACCTTTAATCCATAAATATTAATTTTTAAAGTTTTGACAATATTTTTTAACACTTTCCAAGGTTTTTTTATTTCACTGTATATTTGTTTCAGTATTACAGACTAACAGAAGCAGAACTGAAAGTTCCAGATCTGATAGGTATAACAGAGCGATACATCAGCCTAAAGGCTGCCGGACACACTGTCAGGAAGGTGAATTGTATTATGTTACTTTTCTTCCTACTTCACTGAAAAATAGTTAAGGACCTATTTACACACCTGAAGGCATTTAGAAACCAACACAATGTGGTCTGCTCCCAATATGCCAGCAGCTTGGATCACACCCAGCACCACAGAATTATGAATCTTGTTAGCCACAGATAAGCCACAGACACCAGAGAGGCTAAATAATGTCTTTCATATATTTCACTGCCTGTTTTTACTTTCTGGAATATTACCTGGTAACCTGGTAAACTTCTGATGAAGACAAAGGTTACCAGAAATGATTGAATTGATTTGATTCAAGAACTGACATCACAGTGCTTATGGGAATGCTGTGATGTTAGTTCTTGAATCAAATCAAATCAGTAATTCCTGGTAACCTTTTTCTAGCTGGGTTGACCTGGGAGCTCACATTAAGTTGTAAATATCAAACTTCAAACTGACTAGCTCTAGGCTCGCAGCTAAACTTGTCACCACTGTGCTGCTGCCACTGTGTGACTACTGCTAGTTTCATCAATAATTTTGTTTTCATTTCTATGGCAGAATGATCAACAGTCAGTGTCAAATGTACGAGGTTAGGAAGTGGAACAGTCAACGCGTCAGTCAATTGCTTGAATACCCTGGCACATTCTCTCTCTCTCTCATTCTCTCTCTCTCTCTCTTCTCTCTCTCTCTCTTTCCCTCTCCCTCCATCTCTCTCTTTTTTTTTATTTCTCATATCTTTTCACAAATCTTTTTTTAAATCTGATGAATTCACGAAAGGCAGAGAAATGACTGTATAACTGCTAAAATCAATAGTTATAAGAGAAGGCAGATGAAGATATGTTGGGTTTCTGTCATCCTCATTCACCCAGTGAGTATCTGTAAACAAATGGGTCATGCACCAGTGGCATGCAGAGGTTTTTTTTTCCTTTGTTATTTAACTTTTTTTTTTTTTTCAAATCGTGGCTGTTCTGGTGATGAAATGTTACTAATGCTGTCTTCCTTGCTTTTGTATGTCTACCACCTACATGTTAATTTTGTATGTCTACCACCTACATGTTATAATTCATTATTATGTGCCACGCTGATAAACATAAGCTATCATAGTTCACTATTTTTCACACAATGACCAGAATCACAGATCAGGTCAGTGTTCTTGTCCTGCAAAATCATGTGGCTCTTTGAGTTTATCTTGCTCTTTTTTGCTATTCAAATGCTTAAGTTCTTATGTACTTTTTTGCCTTAAACATTTACAGAAAACCTGTGAAAGAGCGGTCAACAGATTCTATGTGACACTTATGCTCTGGGATCTGTATAACCAAAAGTCTATATGGGAAGTTGCAGACAGATTCTCTCAGCCAAGGGGTTTTGTACAGAATCTGCTGTCTCAGAGTGTAGCCTTTGCATCAAGTGTCTTTCACTTCTGCCAGGTAAATAAGCCATTGATTGATTAGTTATCTTCTCTTGAAATAATTGTATTCAGAAATTCAGTCTTGTGTAAATCACCACTAATTATTGGTATCTTAAGGGCTAATAGATTTAAGATTAAGGCATACAGAGAAAATGGCAGATAACAGAGAACAAAAAACTGCATCCTCAAAAGAGTTTAATGTGAGTAGACCATGAGGCAGGCCAAGAAGATCATGCGGAGATAATATCCAGGCAGACCTACAAACTCTTGGAGTCCCTGGCTGGGAAGAGAAGGCCAATCACAGATAGAAATGGAAGTGGATAATAGCAGCAGAAGTGAACCTCATGGGCTCGAAATTATTATTATTCTTTTAATCCACAATATGTGGCATTAGTATTCATATCTATCTACAACCTTCTGTTGGATATACTTTAATCAGTTCTTGTACAGTAAACAGCAGAAGCCCTCATGATCATGGCTTGTACAAGCAACAGTAGAATTACTCATGTCTTGTACAGACAATAGTAGAGTTGAGTTATGAGTTGGATTATCTTTACACCACTACGGACACATCCATAGGTGCTCAGATTCTCCTCTCAACGTATTCATCAGTGTCATGTGGTTAAAAGTGCCAATCCTGTGATGGCTGACAAGACTTTGTGTGCATCCGATGTGCAACTCATGATTGGCTGTGCCAATCTTTACTCCCGATTCTTATATTCTTAGCAGTGATGTGGACAAGTTGCTTTCAAAATCCTTGGAAAGACCTATCTCTCTAAAGGTATTGACAAAGTCTGCGTGATCCACGTGCCACCATCTTTAATTAATGCGGCACCTGCCAGTCTTTCAGCTCTTTCATTACCAACAACGCCTGTATATCCTGGGACAAATATGAAGGTAACTACACACAGGAGAGTTTTGCAATAACTCAATCCACTGTCTGTGTAAGCAGCCTGCCTCGACTCGCCGGATCATGCTCAAAGAATCTCTCAGCACACACAAGCGGGAATAGTCCTGTGATTCTAGCCACATTAAAGCTTGTGTCACCACCATCACTTCCATCGTTATGCTGCTGGTAGTCATAGAGAAGGCACAGCTGGCTTCTTGAACTGTTCTGCCTGAAGAGCGAGCTGTAAATGTCCATGCACTCTTATGACCTTATATAACGGATCCATCTTCAGATCAGCACATCTGTCTCATCTGACTTTTCACCGATAGCACGCATACCTCGGCATTGACAGCAACTGGATTCTGCTCCCGACAACTCCTATCGAGCATCACGAAACAGGAGAATGTGAGATTGGATGCTTTAGACGCTGGTTTCCATTCCTCACCTGGATGGATATCTGTAAGGAGAATTACTCATGTCTTGTACAGGCAACAGTAGAATTACTCATGTCTTGTACAGACAACAGCAGAATTACTCATGTCTTGCACAGACAACAGTATAATTACTCATGTCTTGTACAGACAACAGTAGAATTACTCGTCTTGTACAGACAACAGCAGAATTACTCATGTCATGTACAGACAGCAGTAGAATTACTCATGTCTTGTACAGGCAACAGTATAATTACTCATGTCTTGTACAGACAACAGCAGAATTACTCATGTCTTGCACAGACAACAGTAGAATTACCCAGTCTTGTACAGACAACAGTAGAATTACTCATGTCTTTTACAGACAATTGTAGAATTACACATGTCTTTTACAGACAAGAATAGATTTACTCAGTCTTGTAGAGACAACAGTAAAATTACTCCATGTCTTCTACAGACAACAGTAGAATTACTCAGTCTTGTACAGACAACAGTTAATTAAAACTCTTATAACAAATGCATATAAAGGAAAATAGAAAAGACTAAGAAAGTTCGTGTGAACCTTTATAAATGAAACACACTAAAGGTACTCTCCTACAGTTTAAAGCACAGCTTGATATCACAAGCTTCAATATGGTATCAGTGGTAGGGGTATTGTTCTTGAGCTGATACCCCCAAAAAATAGGTGAAAACAAAATATTAGAGAATCCAAGAAATAACTCTTCCAGTTGGGTCCAGTACCCAAAAAATGTAACTTGTCCAGCTTGTCTGTAGTGAACTATTTACAAGATGCATAGTTACTGGCTATTTTTTGCAGTGCAAATGGGTAGGGGGTCATGATATTAACCCTTTGGGAACGGAGCCTTTTTTTTTTTTGAGTTTTAGTGCCAAAAAGATAAAGCCTTCAGGAGGGATTCTCAGTTTATGCACAAAAAATTATTTAAAAATAAAGTGTTTCATTAATATATAGAAAATTATATATATTTGTGTAGGAAATTGAATGAGCTAACAGAATATTTGTGAATCAAACTGAAATCTCAGCATTTATTCAAAATTAACTATTCTGATGTGCATAATTTATGCAAGCATTTTTTTAAACTTGGGAACAAACATGACTAACCTAAACAATGTGTGAAAATTTTGATGGATGAAGCTTGAATAAGTGTTAACACTTGTGTTTTAGGAAGTAAGGCCTTTGGAGGCCCTTCAGACACTTCTGGTTCTACTCATTTTTTCTGCCTCCAGCTGTGTTTCGGTTGCTATGACACAACAGTCCTTTTCGCCATTGTTGAGCACAGGTAACACAAGGAAAAAAATTGATGAAAAATTACCGAATACACCAAACTTTCTCGTAAGCCTTCAATGTGCAAGAAATGCAAGAAGCAATCTGATTGGCTGGTACAAAAACCTGCCAGCCAATCTCAACGCTTGTATTACATAGGGCCAGTCGTCCTTTTAGCTACTTTGTGTTGGGCTGATATTTCTGCCGTATCATCTCCAAAGGGTAATACATTACCTAATACAGTAGCATTTAGGGCGAGTTTCCCATCGACTTAACTTTTTTTTTAAAGCCCAGTTAATGTCACTTTTATCGTAAACCTCAGTGACTGGGGACATGGCATGGGTCACTTATACGTGTGATATTTTTTCTTAGCCTCAGGGGATTTATTCTGTTTAATGCTTCACTCTATTTGTGTTTATTGATTACTCTTTTCATATATCTTTATAAGTGAAATGCATTCTTGGTTGAGAGAATGGTCGCATTACAAAGAATCTCCTGTGTGGTGGACAGGGATAAGACTTCAGAAAGACCAAAGCTACGCTATAAGGACAAATGCAAATGTTAGCTGAAAGATATCAACATCAGCGCAGACATTTGGGGTAAATTAGATGTAGACTGACTATTCAAAGGCGGACTGTTGCAGTCTGAAAGAGGCCAAACGCAGCAAGCTATAAAGGAGACATCTGGGAGAAAAGCCCTATAGTGCATCAATGTTTCTATGTGGACTGTGTGTCAGAGACTGCCGCATTGGACTTTATATAATAGTTCCCAAAACCAGCAGACACTGTTCCCAAAACCAGCGGCACAACTCCATAGTCCCCAGGGACTTATGGTTGCCTACTGCTATATCTTTATGTATTTTGAAAATAATATTTGTAAATGTAGATGAATACATTTTGAAGGAATTTAGTATTTATCTGTCTAGATTTGTTGTTATTTTCATGATTGTTTCTGAAATCTTACAAGGGTCGTGACCTATTTTTCTAGTGTTCCTGGGCTGAAAGGGTTAAGAAGTTCTGACAGAACTCGTCAAAATAGTTGCTTCCGTCTATGTTTGCGGTTTTTTTTTTCAAGCTGCCTAATTATATTTTGTCGACATTCTGTTTTTCAGTAGATAACAAACTATGTAACCATAGCTGTTACTGCCTTCTTCCTCTTCTTCTTCAGCCGTCTGAGCTCTTGAGGTTCATTGCTGCAGATATCAACCCCTCCATTTATCATTGTTATTAGCCTTCACTTTCCGTTTGGTGACTCTGTATGTTTGTAAGTCTGCCTGAGTATTATCCCCCTCATAACTGTTACTATGCACACTCAAAATCACGTTGAGCAATAATGAATCTTGTCTTGCTTTACAGGAACTTGAAGAGTTCTGGGCGTTCCAAAATTTGTTTACTGATTTTATTAAACAACTGGCATACTGTGTGACCTCTGACCTCATTCCCCTGATGGAAATCCCAGGAGTGAAACTGGCAAGTTTTTTAAAATAATTTTTTTGTGTGGGTCAAACAAATGTAATTGCAAAGAGATTTGTAGGCAGTAATACTTATACAGATGCTGGTTACATTTTTCCATAAATTCTGACCATGAGCATTCGGACAAATACCATTACCATGAGGGAAAATGAAAATTTTGTCCTACAGTGAAAATAAATCTGTCACATGGAAGACTGAAGCTAAGGTCTTCATCAACTATCTCTATCAGTCTTCCTTGCATCCACAGGACTGCAGGTGGCCGCAATTTGATTTAGCCAGTATAGGTGCCCTAATTATAACTTGGGAGGTTGAACTGGGTATCTGAGATTTATCCTGTTGGTCTGCTAGCCAGGATGAGGTGCTAGAAGTCTCAGGGGTGATCATACCTTCAGGCAGCAACTGAAGGGAGAAAACAGACAACTTTTATACCAGTAAAGTGGATTCCCTAGTCAGGAGCAGATACATTGTAAATAAAACTTACTTTTTCACATTGTAAATAGCTGTTGATTCTGGTCTCTTTAAAGCTGGAATCAAATATTGGCTTTTCCTGCTCTGTTTGGTTTTTGGTTGAATAATTTTACAGTCTTTCCATTTATTCTGTTTATCCATCTGTTAAGTCAGACTTCTTTAAATTGTTTCAGTTTAGCCATGCTGTGTGATCTATCCAATTTTTTAAATTAAAAAAAGAAAAATGAATAATGCGAACACAAATAATACGTTGCACAATGTATTGTTTGTGTCCGCAGTATTTACATTTACAATGGGAAAACACTGTTTTAAAACAAAGGGTTTCCGGTTTCAGCTATTATTAGTACCTTTTTTCCCCTTGTTGGCTGCCGTAACTGACAAATTACAGTGTGTAGCTTGTGACTGAATCAGTTGCACTCAAACTGTTGAATTCTTTTGCCCCAGAAAACGTGTTTGTTTTCATTTGGCATCTTTAGG